ATCTGGACATACGGAGTTGAGATTTGGGGGTCCACAAAGCCATCAAATTCCTCACGCATCCAATCCTTACAATCCAAAATTCTTCGTAAAATCCTCAATGCTCCTTACTTTGTCACTAATAAAATCATCCATAAAGACCAGACCATAAATAAGATCATCTGGGGTTCAGTACTATTTAGGGAAAGCATTGTTTCTAGGTCAACGGTTGTGCAAGGAGGTGATTTGACCGAGATCACGCTCAACCGCCAGGTTTTCCCCCTTAATCAATTATTTAATTAAGGGTACCCACTTTATAGAGGCTGGGTGTGCCTCAGGAGGGACTTCTGACCCAAGGTCGCCCCACGGCCAATGAAACAGATAAATAAATTTTCTGCCATGAGCGGGGGTTCGAACTCGGGACCTTTGCATTGGAAGCTCAGTGTCCTACCACTGAGCTACCTCGCTCCCCATATACAATGTTAAAGAAGATTAAATTTACTATCAATTTTATGCATAGCTTTTTGATGCAGAGCTAACCATAATATCCAATCAAAGCTACAGGTCTAAGCTATCCATAGCCAGATTTTCAGAGAAGCTAAAATAAATTGTAAGTTCGTGAGTCTAACTGAAGTAATGAAAAACGTGTACAAAAGGGGCTGGATTTGGCTAACCAATAATTTCGGTTTTCACTGAATTATTTTAAAACCTTTTTTTTATTTCGACTTAAAAACTTTTCTATTTATTAGAGGATAGAAATACGTGTCGATTGAGCAAAAAAATCATTTATTTTCTTCATCGAGAACCGATTCAAATTTTAGTTAATTTTGGAAGTTCCAGGGTAATTATGTGCATTTGCTCCACTGAAAAATAATCGATTCCTTCCAAATGTTTAAAAATCCTTTATTGAGATGTCCATATCAATAATGAACAAATGATAAATGGCACCATTAACTTGAGGATCTTTGGAATTAATATTTGTTGACGTTCCTCAATACCTGTGGCACGGAGATAAACATGATAATAACTAATCTGACTACATTAACAATAAAAGTAAATAAAGTTCCATGTCATGCGTTATATATGTAAGAAAATAAAAATGGAAAGTTAATTTTCTCAAAAAAAAAAGAAAAGAAAAATTGGTAGAATGTCCAGTCAAAATATTATCAATTATAAGAATGAAGGACAATATGGAAAGTGAGTAGGCATTGATGACGTGGAGGTTTTACGCCTATAAATAACAAAAAATAAAATAAATAAAACAATATGGAAAAAGAGGAATAATTCATGGACGAGAATTAACCATTATGTGTCAAAAAAAAATGTTTAAAAAATAAACTAAAATATAATAATTTCATACTGAATTTTAAATTTTGAACTCCTGAATCCTGTTTCTTTTACAAGTACTAAAAAAAAAAAACAATAAAAATATTATTTTGGTTGTGGAAAGTCTAACATTGTAATTTTCTGAAATTTACAATATTATCAAAATATAAAAATCTATAAGTTTTCGAAAACTAGTTTTTCAATTGAATGAACTAAATTATATACGTGTGTGTGTGTGTGTGTCCGTGCGCGTGCGTGTGTGTGCGTGAACCAGTAGCATCCTAAATTGCTAGAACTAAAGATTCCTTAATTTTCTGAACAACACTAACAATTTCCTTCATTTAAATCATTGTTTGATGCCTTAATGCATTATCAAAATTACACGGATATAGTCAAATTTTCTTATCTCAAGTCATTTAGAGCTCCCCATGCCATTTCTTCAATTGAGTTTAACACAGAAAATTACAATTTGGTCTATGACAAATGAGTAAAGCTTTATAGTAATAAAAGAATCATTGAGGCCTACCATCTTAACAAAATTATACGATTTAAATCACTTTTTGTCGATAATTCTTCCAACTTTAGAAACTTTCGGGACACATTTGAAGATAATTATAATTCCTTAAAAAACTTTAAACTCAATAACCTTGCTGATTTTGCTTTACCGCATCTAAGACTGGCCGTCGTGGAGACTAATACCAGAAGAATGTTTGCGAAGAGACAGTTCCTAGCTTTGAAAAATTATGCAAATTTGTTAGGTCACAACTTAAGAGTCGCAGAAATGTTTTCCGAGCCTTCTACATCCAAAATTTCACAGCCTAAACTTCAACGAAAGACATTTTTAACCATCAATAGACCGGATAATCAGAAATCTAAGTTAGAATGTCCAATCTACAAATCGAGCCATAAAATTATAAACTGCCCTCAGTTTCTGGACGCGGATGTTAATGGTCATTATGACCTACTAAAGAAGCCTGATTTATGCTTTTTGTGTATGGGACTTCATCGCTTGCCTAAATGCTGAAGTAAAGGCTGTTGCTAAGTTTCTGGCAAAAAGAGTCACCATACAACGTTATATGAGGCTGCAAACACTGTGCCCTCTCAGTCTCAAGAAACTACAATATAGATTCTTGAGCAGTTTCGGACCATGCTACCACTAAAACCCAGGTACTTCTGGGAACTACCTTGGGTAGAATATGTTTAAGTTCAGGTCAGTGGTATTCATGTAGAATGGTGATAGATCCAGGTTTCCAAATTAATTTAAGTTCCACTGATCTAAGGAAAAAGTAATCCCTTCGCTCCCGGGTTAGTCCTCTTGTGGTGTCTAAAGCAGGTAATATCTCCATCTCTTCATCTTCAGCTGAGGTTAAAGTGAAGTTGGGTTCGATGGTAAACAACAATATATAAGAGTTTTCAGCCAGTGTTGCCTTGCATCAGTGAAAGTTTGCCTTCTTTTGCCGTGTCTCAAGAAGTACAGCACAGCACCGGGTAAAGTTGATCTACTTCTGGTATTGAGATGTACGGAAAGGTTTTATTTCTGAATGGTCAACCGAAGACTATTCATACCGTAATAGAATAGGTATTATTTGGAAACACTTTCCCAAAAAACTCTGCATCTTCAGTCCCTACTCTTTTCAGGCAAACCAGCCTTTCCTTACAGGAGGAATTAAAGCAATTTTAGGAAACTAAGAAAGTCACAGTTTCGATTCCGCCGAATCCGGAAGATCCATTTTGCAAAGATCACTTTAAAAATTACCCATATTTAGAACTCATATACTACCCAGATTTAGAAATCAGGAAAATAGATCTATGAGGGATCCGGAATATAAGTCTACCTATGCTGCACAGATGAATGAATATCTAAGACTGTACCATGTCCGCCTCGCCAAGAACCCTCCTCCATATGTCATGACCAATCATGTAGTCATTAAAGATTCTTCCACGACAAAACTTAGTTATATTTAACGGTTCAGAGAAGATAGTGGGAGGGAACTCACTGAATGATTTTTTTTTTTTTTTGACATGTCAGCAGCTCCAGACTGATATTGCGGGCATTACTGGACTCATATATTCATTTATATCAAAAATTTTGGCAAGGAAGGATAGAATACCTCAGTTTGTAAAAATAGGCTCACTTTCTTATATTAAATAACTGAAATGATCTTGTGAAAACATATTTTGATCGATTTTGGCTTCTAAGCCCCTTATATGCTAGATATTTTACGACAGCGGAATAAGGAAATTGTTAGAAAGATGCAAGAGGTCATCAATAAAAACGGCAAATATATTATTGAATAAAATGTATTCTTTGTATGAAAAAAACTTCCTTTATTTTCACCCTTCAAAAACCAGACGAACTTATAAATTTCTTAAATTTAAAATCTGTACAAAATTAAAAATAAATAAATAGAATGATAGTATCACAATCTTTTCATGAATCAAGGTCTCATTAGAGTTCAATCAGAAAAATTCTTATTTTCTTTAAATAAATCTAATCAATGTTAATGGATTAAAGGCCGAACTGCAATGAAGGACGCCAATCTTGATTAAAATTAGTTAAATAAGATTCATTTCCGCAGATTACCAACTGTTTACATTATGCGGATCTTTGCCATTGCGTTGTCGATTGAAGATTCGTCTAGTGTGTGCCCACCTCAAGAATTTCCTATAATTTTTAGAAATATTTCCGTTGTTTAAACTGTAAAAATATTAAGTAAAAAAATATGGGGGGGAGAGGGGAGACGGGGAGGCTAACTTCACACTTTTTCCTACTATGAGATTACATCACTACTATTACAAATTTTAGAACTACAGTACATTGGGATAATTGTTAGAGCTCCCAGAGAGGCATCATAGCACCAAACTTCGAGTTGAATTCCATAAATTTCAACCCTATAAATATGATCACTATTTAGATAGTCCCTATATTTTCAAAGCTATAAAAAAAATTAAATTCTCATAGTCCCTCTAAGAGTTAATTTCCCTAGAAATAGTTAAACTAACCCCACACACACAAAAAAAAAAAGTGGAGGAGGCGATGTGAGAAAATTCATTGAAAACTTTCAAATGACTAAAGAAGTAAAAAAAATTCAAACAATTATAATTAAGTGCATTGAACTGTTAACACACAAAAGTTCCAATTAAGTTGGTTCAACATTTCTTGTTGGTAATTCTACTGACATATTAGATCATTTCCTTTATAGTTTTTGTGTTTTTTGCTTAAACTCATCTAATTATTTTAAAGTTTCAGAATTTAAGTTTCTCCAACTTCTAAATGACCCGCAATAATCATACCATTAGATAATACGCTACTAGAGACTACACTTAATTCCTATTAATAAACATTTTAAAATGAGTTATATAATATAATACAATCATCAAAATGGAATTAAATTTCAGGAAGTCTTCTGGATAAGATTTTCCATGAAAATAATGTGTGGAAATTCCATAGCTATAAATTTGTGGTCGTCAGGCAGGGGAATATACTTCATATAACTTACGAGTTTTCTTATCATGATTATGAAGCATTAACAGGAATGCACAGAAGGGGGTCTCATTCATATTTAATTAAAACCTTAACGTTTACAAGAAATGAAAATAAAAAAAATTCAAACAGGAATATATAAATAAGACAAAATCAAGAATAGTACTCTCCAACTCGATGCTTAAAAGAATATAATATAATAAACAATTCTTACCATCCTCAGGAACGTGTAATTCTTCTTCTTGTTTCACACCAACTGGTCCACCTGCCAATAAGTAAACAATACAATAAAACTAAATAACAATTTATAAGAAAACCTAAAATTTGTAATATTAAAGGAAACATAATTTCATTGTTAGTTACTAAACATTATTTTATCTAAGAATCTATAAGATGATATTATCTACATTTTTATGAGTATATTGATGGTCAGAAGGCAAAACCAGGAATGTACCAAATCAAAATATTGGTCATTTCTTGCGCTGCTGGATGCAGAATATAGAATGCAGAGTCTGGAAGTATGGACTCCTATAAGATGGATCCAGATTTATTTGTTTGGAGCTTGTTATGGCCGAATATGCTAAGGTGTTACCGGTATTAACATTCTGAAATCTAGCGACACTAGTTCGAATCCGGCTTGAAATTTATTTTGAGGCACATCCACAGAATGAATCTTGATATTTCTACTCTGGATAGAATAGGTTTAGTTGCATCTCTAGAACAAGCTTTTCACCATTTCTTCAATAAGCAACCAAAAACATAATAAGCCTCTTCCTCTACATATGAATTTTGAAGTTCGCTATGCTGAGTTTTAGCAGGATTGGGAGAGCACCGTTGAGATTGAATAATCAGAGGCGTACATTATTTTGTTTATGTAGTTTATTTTGATATTGATATGACGAGGTGATGACATCAATATCAAAATAGACTACTTAAAATAAAGCTATAAGACAGCTGACTCAAATTAAATAGGGAATGGGTTAAAATTAAAAGGGGAAGAAAAAAAAATTAAAGCTTGCTCCTATTTAAGGTATAGCGGCTCTAAGGTATAGTCGGCCTTCACGTAGTTCACAATACGAGAGTGCACCTACCCCAGACGTTCATCATATGAAGATGAATTATATATTTTACTTTACGGCACCATAGAGTTAATTCGAATTGATGAGGCTCCTTAGGGAAAAGGAATTTGTATGCTTCGATGAGGTCTATTGCATTGATAGCGATGGCTCAACAAGATACGCAGACATAGTTGCATTTTCCAAGACCGGAAAGGCAGCACTGGTCTTGGATCCAACTGTTCGCTATGAGAGCAACGACCTCGAACAAGCCAATGAAGTAGTAAGAGAAAAGAAGAAAATCTACGAGAAATGCATCCCTTTCCTAAAAGAGAAATTCCACGAGACCTTCGGAGAGAGAGAGTTCACAGTGAGAGGCCTCTGGTTTGGGTTTCGCGGAATGATTCCTAAAAGAACAGGGAGCTTCTTCGAGGAACTTGGTGTTGATGTCGGGGAGCTTGCAGTGTTGGCCGAGATTATTATTCTGGACTCCCTTGGGATCATACATCATCACATATATGGTAATTAGGGGTTGATTATCATTATTTATTTATTTATTGAATTTTAATATTGTTTAAGTGATCACATCTTTTTGTCTGTGTTGTGTGTGCGTTTTAATTTTCCGGTGTTAAAACTTTGGCATTCGAATACTATTTTTTAGCACTATAAATTTTAGAAATTATCTTGTATCGGTTTCACCGAAATATATATATATAATATATTGTATGATTGTAGTTGTATGTATTAGTATATTGTAGTATTTATATTGTTTGTATATGAAAAGGAATTTGTATATAATTTGTATGTCCAAAAAAAAGGATTGATGACTTTGCTGTGTGTCGAGCAACCCTATATAGCAGGGCAGCACTGCTTTAAATAAAGTATTTCTCTCTCTCTAGTTGTTAAAATGTATTTTATATTCTTATATCCATCTGTACTAGCAATATATGGAGCTACATTTTATTAAATAAAGTTGAAGTCAAATAAAATCAACTGATCAAAAATAATATCAGTATATTCGGATCAGACTCTCGTTACCCATGTTTCGCATGAAGGAATGATCCTCCTAGCCCTCAGGCTGGAAACTCAGACCTTCCCAGCAGTTTAATCATTATATTCTATATACGCTTTGGTTCGACATCAAACTTTTTTTTATTTCACAATAAAAGGCTCCTGTTCCTTTAGCCTTCATTTCCCATTCTCTCTCCATACAAGGCCTGGATGCTGATCCATCTGTTTGTACTCCTATATACTAAGTCAGGAGATTGATCTCTCCGGTAGTATTTCATCCTCCCACATAGCCAGGATATTGATCCTGATCTTTCACATCTCCGTATGTGGTTTCTGTTCCTACGGAGTGTTAAAGTTAATCCCTTATCCCGCAGACCAAGAGTGATTTAGGTGCTCATCCGTCTGACACGTGAGGTCCTCCTCTGTCTTAGTCTCTTCCTTCATCCACTAAATCATATTACCCTTAAATTGAACATGCTCTATCGAGGCCTTCTGATAACTGTATTAACTGTTAATACCTCGACAAAGGGCGGAAAAAAAAAGCCTTGTGTGGATTCGCAACGAAATAAATTGCAAGCCGCCCAAGTTAGATAACAGACATACAAGTTCAATTTAGGGTCCTCTGAGTCCAAATAATCAAGTCTTACAAAACAGTCTTTGTGTTTGTGAACAGTCCAGCTCAAAAAAACAAAAAACAAATGAAACTGATGAAGTGACAATACTGAAATGATAGGCAATACCATACTGACTTTAAATGAGATGAGGTATTATCATTGTAGAATAAATTACATTTCATTATTTTTCCCTATTCTGAATATTAAGGGAGGTGTCGAATAAGAAGAAAAATACACAAAGAATCCATTAGGCCAGGTTTGTAAATTAATCCGATAGATAGATTAATCCGCTGCCAATGGGAGGTTCCTCTTCAACATTGGTCCATTGCTTAACAACTGTCCAATGTGCCAGATGCCCTTTACCAATCTACCTTCGATTATTCGGCTGAAGTTGCTGAGATTGGAGGTTGATCAGGGTCATCAAAATGTGAGAGCTCTACGGCAGTCGCTACGAGAAAATTCGTTTGAGAAATGGGGGGTTTGAGGTGGCATGACATTGGTGTTATTTTAAAGCAAATAAATACATCTACGAAAAGCAAGTACTTTCTGGATCTGAATTGTCTAATGCCATGAAACTAAACATTAATTATGCAACCCTGCGTGGAGTCCCAGGTGTCAGCGGACAGGTCAGAGATGTGTCCCTCTGTCGTCAATACGGCAGAGAGTTCGAAATACCAATCCATGTGCTGAGAAAATGCCCCAACAACTCCCTCCTCATAACATGTCGTCACCATAGGGTCAAGTTTGGGTTGAGGAGGCTCCTTAGGGAAAGGAAATTCACCTGCTTTGACAAGGTCTATTGCATCAATAGTGAAGGCTCTACGAGAAATACAGATATTGTCGCATTTCCCAAGACAGGAAGGACAGCGCTGATCTTTGATCCAACTGTCCGCTTTGAGAGTAATGACCTCTATCAGACGGGTGAAGTGGAAACGGAAAAGAAGAACATGTATGATAAATGTATCCCTTTCCTAAAAGAGAAGTTCCGTGAGACCCCCGGAGAGAGAGAGAGTTCACCGTGAGAGGTCTCTGGTTTGGGTCTCGCGGAACGATTCCAGGAAGAACAAGAAGCTTCCTCGAGGAACTAGATGTCGACATTAAGGACGTAGCAAGGTTGGCTGAAAATATAGACCTCGACTCTCTGGGGATTATTCACTACCACGTGCATGAGTAGAGTGTTTTAATTTATGTATTTATTTAATGAAAAATGTACCAACGACCCAGGATCATTGTTTTATATTAAATTGTATTTAATTCTAGATGAATATACCCTTGTTTTTTGGTATTGTTATATTTTAATTTTAAGATTTTTAATATTGTGTATAAGAGAGAGAAGGGAGAGAAAGGGAAATTAAATGTAAAAAAAAAAAAAAGAAAAGCATGAACAAAGGGGAGAAAAAAAAAAAGAAAAAAAAAAAAATATATATATATATATATATATATATATATACATATATACTTATATAGAAATAGAAAATAAACTTTATTCTGGGATGATGTCACCCAACCCAATATAATTGGCAGCAAGCTTTTATATTTTATATGAAAATTATGTGTTTCTCTCTAGCAATTACAGTAGGATGAAAATTAAGAAAGGAAAAGCAGAAATAAATATATGAGAAAAATGTAAAACTGTATTCTTGAGCTGGGCCACTCTTAAGATAATAATATGATAATATTAGATATTATGATAATATCATAATTAAATAATATGATAAATAATTCTTACCATAATCAGGTACAATTAGTTCTTCTTCTTGTTTTGTATAAATAAAGTCACCTGTAAACAAGTAAATAAACTTCAAACAAGAGAACTGGATCATTGTTGACTTGAAAATGAGCAAAATGAGAAACATCATCATAATATAAAAATGAAATAAAGTTTTATGAAGTAAATAAGTGTTAAATATATTTTCCTAGAAATAATAAACTTTATTTTAAACTAGTATACTTAATTCAAGAGGAGTTTCCCATATTCAAATATGAGCTCTATGTTTAGGAAACCTGACATTATCTCCCAAAAAAAAAGTCATTATGGTGGATATTTCTAATATTGTTACATAGCTTAATACAATATTTGAATGGTTTATTTATTTATTTATTTTTTTTTTTTTGATAGGCAATAGAGACGTTTTGATGCTAAAATTATTTATTACCTGTCTCATATAAAATATGTAAACTTTCAAATTTTTTTTTTAAGGATTCTATTGGCATGCAGGATGGAGGTCCCTGTATCCGTCAACCAGAGAATTGGACAGTGATGACTGGTATGGTACGGTCCTGTAAGATGAATGCCTACCAAGTGATGGCCTGACCGAATCTTAGATTGGCAACTGCTATGAAGACGGAGGCGAGAACGACCCAGGAAAAGATGGATACATGAAGTGGAAGAGGAGACGGCTGGCCGGAGATTGGTTTGACCGCGACCTATGGACATCAGTCCTCACATGAAAGGCAACCCTCGTTGAAACGCCAATAAAATATAATATTGGCATGCTGGCCCCTAATATTTGTAATCAAGATAATAATAATAAACCTAATAAAGATAAGATAATAAACCTACCAAATCTAAACGGAAATTTCTCACCATTATAAAATCTAGGCCTTTTCTCTTATTTTATTTCAGTTTTTTCAACTGAAACAAAACTTTAAATGATTTGCGATCAATTAATCCATACTTTTGCCTTCAAACTATAATTTTGTACTTTGTACCAGTAATAAATAGTAAAGAAGTCTAATTTCTAGAACAATAATATAAATACTTAATATTTTAAATTTTTTTTTATATATACATTACATCATGTCATAATGATAAATTACATGTTTGTGGTTGCAGTAACCTTATACATGACATACTAGTGGTATGAATGCTGTTAAGAAAATTGAAATCTATTTTTTACAGTAGGAAAAATCTCATAAAAAACCTACATAAGATATAAATGAAAAACTAGATTACAATCCTTAAAATTGCAAGAAAAACAAAATATATTTTTATACATAAGAAAACTATATATATATATATATATATATATATATATATATATATATATATATATATATATATATATATATAGTTTTCTTGATAAATTGCTTTGTACAATTCATCTTCGGGATCCCAAGGGACGCCTCTGTTTTCCATTTTTATGCAGAGTTGGAGTGGCTTTATCATTCCTACCGTCGTAAGTATTTCCTGGCATCCTTCCTCTTTCAAGTCATCCAAACTCACCGTCATTCATACATCTCCGAGCTCCTTCAATTCAAATCTTCTATTCGTTCCCGCAATACCCGTTTCCGGTCTTCTGATTTATACATAAGGGCCCACTGAACCGCTGCTTTCGACAGATCTTTCATTATACGATCCTCATTCCTATGGAACTCCATCCCTCTCGACATCCGTCAACCCAAAACACTTCCTACCTTTAAAACACGCCTGTTCAATCATTTCTTATCCATCCAGTCCCTATGAAATTGTAAATAGTACTGTAAATATGAATATAAATTATCAGATCGTTCCTCATTATTCTTACTTCATGTTTATTTTAAATTTTTCATTTTTTTTTATTATTAACTGATTTAAATTAAAAAGTAACTTATAATTTCTATTATTATTTTTTTTAATTTGACTATTCACTTACACTATATTTTTGTTTATGTATCTCAGAGGCTGCTTAGCCCACATTTTTGTCTTTCAGTATTATTCTAAAGGGACTCGTTCCAGAATAAAGCATTATTATTATTATATACACATACACACTCACACATATATATACATATACACACACACCCTATAAATATAAATATTTACATGTCCTATAAATATAATTTATTAATTGGGGTGATAGAGTTTAAATTTAATAAAAAGTAAATGTACTTTTAAATGAAAACAGAAACAGAACTATTGAGATAATATTATTCAACTTCCCAGGATTAAAACTTTAAGAATTGATAATATAATAATAATAAAATCAAATGATAACATATAACATTTAACCAAGAAATTAAACGTACCAGTAAGCTCAGTTTCATCAATATTTTCTTCTTTAATAGAGATACCTAAGTTGCTCATTCCTGAAAAATTAAGAACATATGAATACAATTTTCTAAATTTATAAATATTAAAGCAAGTTTGTAAATTTAATTATTAAAGTAAAGGACGGTCTTGATAATTTGAAACCCCTGGTAATCCGAATAAGGAAGAAAAAAAAAATTAAAAGTTGACTGACGAAAGATGGAATGGAAATGGTTGCTTCCCAGTACATATTACTGGAACTGCTTTGTGTGGTAGTGTCGAAATCTTATATTGGTGTCTCCAAAAAGAAAACATTAAAATTAGGGAGTCATCCAGAAGTTGAGTAATCTATTTATAATAATAATATGCTTTATTGATTCTGAAACAAGTTCCCTTAGAATAATGCATATTAATACAGTTGTGGGCCTTAGAAAAAATTTTAAGTTGACTTCTCACAAATTAATAATTTATATACATAATTGCAGAAAAACTATTTACAATACTTGGAAACTGGATAGACAGTAACTGATTGAATAGATGGGATTTAAAGGTAGGTAAGGTATTAGAGTGATGGATGTAGGAGGGGTTATTACATAGGGAAGAGGATCAGATAAAGAAAGATCTATCGAATGCAGCAGTTTGGTTGTTGTATATAAATTTGAAGACCGGGAATGGGTATTGTGGGAATAAACAGAGGATTTGAATTGAATGAGCTCGGAAATGTGTGAGGGATGATGGGATTGGATAACTCTATGGATCCCGAGGATGAATCATACAAAGCAATTTATCAAATGTTTGAGTTTTATCTCAAGATCCCAAGAGACACCCCCATATAACGTACGGAAGTAGTCAAAGTAGGGGAATATTAAGGAAGAAACTAGGAGTTTACAGCTTTTTAATGGAAATAGATAAGAGAGGTAATTTAGTCGTTAAAAGGTAGAAAAAGAACAGCATGAAATATTGGCTTTTCCAGAAGAGGGTTTGGTCTAAGGTTATTTCAAGGTTTTTAATGACAAGATTAAATTTGATAGCATTATTATAAAGATACAGGATTGGAATATTAGGAGCAGTTATAAGGAAGTGATTGGAGCCTACCACCATTGCCTTTATCTTCTCCGCATTCAACTTCAGCTTGTTAGCTTTTGCCCAGTCACAGATTCTATTTAAGTCTTCTTGAAATTTTATAGTAGCTTGTAATAGATCAAAAGGAGAGAAGAACAGATATATTTGGAAATCATCATCATAGATATATATTATATTATATTTCATTAAAAATAAAAGCCAAGAAATGGTTCACAGAAGCATGCGAAAAGGCAGTGGAGGAAATAAGAAAAGTCCTCTGCTTACAAACTGATCAAGCGATGCTGGACAAATACACAGCCGCCAGGAAAAAGACAAACAAAATAATAAGAACAGCCAAAAGAGAATTCCTCAAAGAAAGATTACAAACTATTGAGGAAAACTGGCAGGCTGGAAATATATGCGAATTCTTCGCAGATATCAGGAAAGGGTAGGATATAAAGCGAGAAATACACAAATGCGAGGCAAAGATGGCAAATTGACGGCATTAGAAGGAACACTTCTACTAGCAGCTCCTTAATCAAGGGCACTCCACAAATGAAAAAAACATGGACCAGACTGAGGACATCGATCCACTTGAGGTTGAAAAAACAGAGATTCTGGATGTGGAAATAGCTAAAGGCAGTCTTAAAAGAAGAAAGGCTCCAGGGATAGACAACCTACCATCAGAATTGTTCGAGGATGGGGAAGAAGACCTCAGAGCCAAGCTAGTCCAGAAGGTATGTGAGAAGGAACGGATACCAGAAGCATGGAACACAGGGTTGATCTGTCCTATCCTTAAGAAGGGCTCCATGTACGAATCTGGAAATTACAGAGGCATAGCACTTCTTCCGGTTGCCTATAAAATAATGACTAAAATTCTAGTAATTCGGATATATCCGTATTATGAAAACATAATAGTGACCATCAAACAGGATGTAGGAGAGGAAGGAGTACGCTAGATCAGATATTCATCCTGAAACAAGTACTCGAAAAACAATGGGAAGTAGATCAGGACATACACGAATTATTTGTCAACTTCAAAGCAACCTATTACTCCTAGGACAGAAACTGCCTCTGGAAGATCATGACTGAGCTGGTTGTTCCCGAGAAGTTAGTGAGGTTGACGAAGGCTTGTACAAATGATCCTAAATGTAGGGTAATACAAGGTGAAGTATCTGAAGCCTCTGAAGTTTGAACGGCCTTGAGGCAGGGAGATGGACTCTCGCCGATGCTGTTCAACTTAGCACTAGAGAAAGTAATAAGATGTGAAGATGGAGGGGTGCACGTTGGAATGAAATATGAAATCCTAGCATATGCGGATGATATAGCTGTAGTCGGAAGTAATCAAGAGGATATTGAGAGACTCGCTCGGACTCTGTTAAAAGAAGCAGAACAAATCAGAATACAAGTCAATGTAGATAAACATAAATACATGATAGCCAAAACATCCACCCTAATACCATGATCTGTGTGGACTCTAAGCCATTCCTGAAAATAGACAGTTTCAAAAAACTCGGCTCCACAATAACCACAATAAATGATCAACTAACAGAGATAGACCAGCGAATAACAAGTGTGAACAGATCTTTCTTCTCTCTTTCAAGGGTACTGGAATCCAGAAAAATCTCCAGAAATCTAAAATTAAGCGTGTTCACCGCCGTGATTAAGCCAGTTCTTTTACATCAAAACTCTATGGTTGTGAAACCTGGGCTCTAACCAGCACAATAGAAGGCAGAATTGAGAGATTCGAAAGAAAAGTTCTACGTAGAATAACAGAACCTATATGGGACCAAAACCTTGACACATGGAGGAGAAGGAACAATAAAGAACTGCTGAAAGAAACAGGTCAGTCAATATCTCATGACATGAAGGCAAGGAGGTTAAACTGGGCGGGGCATGTAGCTCTTAGTAATCCATCAGGACGCCTTTACACAACAATGAATGCCAGAGTAGCAGGCAAGAGACCACGTAACGTGGGAGGCCAAAAACCAGATGGATAGATGGGATAAACAAAGATACGGCTGAGCTTTATGCCGCAAACTGGAAAGCAGTAGCCCAAGATAGGCAGAGATGGAGAAGGCTGGTTCAGGCGGCCAAAGATCTACAAGGTCTGTAGAGCCAACCAAAAAAAAATAAAATAAAATAAATAAATAATAATTAAAACACCCAGTTTAGCAATGTCTGAAAAACACCAGTCAATACTGTGAAAAAAGATAGGTTTATAATAATTTTTATTCATAGATAATTCAATTACTAGATTGGAGAGAGTGATTGTCGAATAAGAATCATACAAATTATATTTATTTAAATATTTGAATAAATATAATCTCCTATTATAATTGAGTAAAAATGTCCCCCTTAAAAAGGAGATTAATTTATAATAAACAATTTAGGATCCGTCTTCTTTTGGAAACATTTGGATATTTTTAGGAATCTATGAATAGCATGCCCTGAGTAATCTTAAAACCAGCTGTCACCATGAGCTAGCGAAATGGAACTAGGAACTAGGAACTAGTAACATATCCTCAATACAAACTTCAAGAATCAATAATATAGATCTACAAAAATCAAATGACAATATAAAAACAATTAATTAAAAAATTAAACATACCATTAGGCTCAGTTTCATCAGCAGGTTCTTCTTTTATAAACATATCTAAGTTACTCTCACCTGGAAAAGAGATATAAGGTTTGAAATTCAATAAATAAGAAACATTGTTAATGCTAGTTAATTTTTTGGGAGGCCATAGACAGGGGTTAACTAGTTACCTACAGCTGATTTATTTTGAAATAATTGAATGAATGAATATTTTTATTTGTTTTCGGTGAATGTCCCATACAAATAGAGTAGACCACGTACATAAAATGACATAATATATTTATACCTAAAATTTTACAAGTTATGTAAAAATAATCTATTGTGTTAATATGACAGCATCCTTAGCTGCCTGAATGCCTAAGTGTTGGATTTACATCCACAATTTTGTATAAATACATAACATTTAGAATTATATTCTCACTTGAATAAATAAGACACGGGGACCCCCGGTCTCAACTCGCACTACCCCCTCTCTAAGACGGCCTTATCTACGGCCAAAGGACAGATGCTAGCGAGTGAAGCGGGTAAGAAGACCTACCTCATAACCGGACTGAAGAATTACAGCCCTTCGGCTATTTCCAGAACCTGGGACGAGCGGCGGAGAGAGAGAGAGAGAGAGAGAGAGAGAAGACGCGAGACCGACCCCCTCATCAAACTGTACTTAGATCAAATTAATTATTCACAAGTATTCCTCCATAGAAAATTTCTTTATTTTTGTATATCTCAAGAAAAGGCTCCCGGTTATATGGCATGTACCGGGCCCCCCAATATTGAACATTAAAAGGCTCCCGGTTATATGGCATGTACCGGGCCCCCCAATATTGAACATTAAGTCTCATAATCTTAAGGTCGTGAGTTCGATCCTCACTCGGGGCACCATATGTTCAATATTGGGGGGCCCGGTACATGCCATATGACCGGGTGCCCTTTTCTTGAGATATACAAAAATAAAGAAATTTTCTATGGAGGAATACTTGTGAATAATTAATTTGATCTACGTACAGTTTGATGAGGGGGCCGGAGTGCATATAGATTATGCTGGGCCATATGAAAATAAATATTGGTTTGTACTTGTGGACGCGACCTCAAAGTGGTTAGAAGTAATTCCAGTAAATGGTATCACTTCCAAAGAAACGATTCGGCTATTAAGGGAAATCTTTTCAAGATTTGGCTTACCAAAAGTCTTAGTGTCCGATAATGGGCCTCAATTCACTTCAGAGCCTTTCAAAAATTTTTGTACTTCAAATAATATAAAACATATTATGATAGCTCCTTATCACCCCAAATCTAATGGATTGGCCGAACGTTATGTACAGACATTTAAAAGGCGCTTTTCGGCTTCAAAGAGTGATAAAATAGACATACACGAACGTTTAACGAGATTCCTTTTTCATTACAGAACAACTCCAAATAAAACTACAAATAGAACCCCAGCAGAAATTCTTTTTACGCGCCAATTACGAACTCGTTTCAATTTGATGAAACCAGACCTATCTCGAGATCTGGAAGTCGCGCTAAGCACTCAAAAGAAAATAAGTGACAGAAAGTCTCGATGGAAAAGTTTCGATACCGGTCAGCCTGTGTTGGTGATGAAATATCCTACTACCGGAAAGAAGACGTACGTCGTCAAACAATGTATAGGTAGATCGACCTATTTTGTCGACGTTGAAGGAAAACCGCTGAAAAGACATGCTGAGCAACTACGTGATAGACGGATTAACGCAAGACAATAACATTTTTATTTTTTTTAAAAGGGGAGATGTAGCATATTCTAAATTTAATATTTTTGGTGTTTTAGTGAAAAGTAAATGAGTTCATATTTTCTGTTGCAGTTTAATTGTCTAAACCATATGGTTTTAAAAGAACATATGTTTATTATTAGTTAGTATGTAAAAAAGTTGTTAGTTGAGTTAATAAATGAATTAAAACATTTATTTTGATTTATATGATAAGAATATAATACATATAATGCCTGATTTGAGATTGAGCATCAAGTTTAAGTAACTTTTTTGAATTCTTAGATATACGAATCCACTATTTTCTATTCGTCGGAGCTTTTATGAATATACTGTCGGATTTAAAATTGTTCGTGGATTTTTTTTTATAGATTTTTGGATTTCTTAGATATAGGAGTCCACTATTAAATTGCTAAGTGCGCTTTTTATGAAAATAATGTCAGATTAAAGATTGTGAGAGAAAAGTGTACAATATTAATAAGTAAAATGTATCTATTAATCGTTATATATTTAAATATTTATTCCAAAAATGTTCAATCCCAACGGGACTAGTAATCAGTTAATTAACTATTAACTTAAAATTTATTTTTTCGTTTAAATCACTTTTTTTTAATGAATTAGCTGTGTAATTATTGATATTCACAGTTATTTTGCTTGGAAATCCGAAAATGGGGGTTATTGTAGTCATTCGTAAAAAAAAAAAAAAAAAAAAATCGTGTTTATTTTCGAGAAAGCAATTAACCTATTGGGAAAACAACTGATGAAGAATATCTGATAATTCCTGATCTGATAATGAATAATAGAAATCATCGCTCCACTTCCAAGAGTTTTCGTAAATAAAATAGTTGTAGGTTACGATGAGATGAAACTATTTACAAAGTTTCAGGCGGATGTTAATAATTCGATAAAAAGGGGTCTGTATCACATACTATAATCTGTGTAAATGTTTTAATCATAGGAAATGGGGCAAATAATGTGAGATGAGACTGATGTTTATCACTCACTGTCCACATATGGATACATTGGGCTGTACCTAGTAGGGGCAATCAGTTTTTGTTTATCACACTTCTATATGTGGATATGGTACTTATCTAATAGCGGGTAGCATCCGACTGCTATCTGCCAATGTTTATAACCTTAACACTGATAAGCTCTTCGTATTCATATTTATTGTATTATATTCATATTATTATATGTTCGTATTCATATTTATTGTATTGTATTAATATTATTTTATGAACAAAAACAGAAACAAATGTAATAATAACAAAATGCTTTTATTTTACAACATATATGTTAAAATATATCAAAACATTATAAATATATAATTAAAAAACATTAAGAAAACATTGCAACATATATATATAAATTAATGAAATAATAAAAATAGACAAAAAAACATGAAATAATAAAAAACTACTTAATCAGCATATATACATATAAAACAAACATTATGAAGAAACGATAGAAACAAAATATGAAAAATTTTATTTTGGCAGAGAAAATGATTTTATGGTATTTAAAATAGCGAGGAAAAGCATCTCCATTTAATCTTCCCGTCGAACTTCATTTTATGACCCTCATCACAATATTTTACCTTATCAAATATACCGGCGTCTTGAAAATATTTGATAGCCTCTTCTTCTGAAGACGGCAATGCCCACAATGTGACAAGATCCATAATTAAATCAACCCACACCTGCCACAAGAAACAAAAACTAAACAACAAAATAACTTAGGTTAGATGAGATAAGGGAGGTTATCTGAAATGAGATTAGATAAGAAGGGAGGTTTTGACGCTACCCGCTACTGGATAAGTACTGTGGATTTTAAATAGGCTAATTGTTTCATTCATCTATAGCTAGAATGCATCTGCGTCTTCTAATTCTAGAATGTACAGATTATTTACAGATTACAATGGAGTGTGTAACTGATTGATTAAACCAATTGAAATTGTGATCCCATTGGCCATTAATATATATTTCTTTCAACTTATTAAAACAAATTTTAGTAATACGTACTATTGAGGAGCTTCAAGCTTCTTTAATGAAATGTAAAAACAGCCGAAATACTGGCAGAGATGCTTTTAGTTATGAATTTTATAAGAACTTACCAATTATATATTTTGCATTGGTATAACAGAGTCTTATTGACTGGGAATATATTGAACTTCTGGGTAAAAACAGAATTCACCATGCTGTTTAAGAATTGTAACCATAATCTACCCGACGTGAAATCGCATCAATATTTTGTAAATTTAATTACTAAAGTTGGTATAATTAAGAAAATATTTTGAACAATTATTATCAACTATAGAGTAAAAATTTCTCTCTGATAATGGAGGGTAATTTATCATCTAAAGTTGGGGGATCAGACTTCTTTCTGAAATATTTGGTTATTTCAGGGAATCTATGAGTAGATTCCCTGAAATAATTTTGAGTAATCTTGAAACCAGCTGCCATCGTAAGGCAGCTAAATGGAATTAGGAACTAGTTCTAATGGAACTAGGAAATACAAACTAGAAGAATCACTAATATAGATATACAAAAATCAAATGACAATACAAAAACAATTAATTAAAAAATTAAACATACCAGTAGGCTCAGTTTCATCAGTAGTTTCTTCTTTAATAGATATATTTAAGTTACTCATACCTGGAAAAGTGATATAAATTATTACAAAGTAATTATTTTGTAACATTTGAAATTCAATAAATAAGAAACATGGATAACATTAGTTAATTTTTTAGGAGGCTGTAGACAGGGGTTAACTATTTACCTACAGCTTATTTATTTTGAAAAAATTGAATGAATGAATATTTTTATTTGTTTTTGGGGAATGCCGCATACAAATAGAGTAGGTCACAATAATATAAAATGACATAATATATTAATATAAAAAATTTTACAAGTTATAAGAACTACAAAAATTTAATGACAATACAAAAACAATTAATTAAAATATTAAACATACCGGTAGATTCAGTTTCATTAGCAATTTCTTCTTTTATACAGATGCCCAAGTTACTCATAGCTGGAAAAGTGATACAAAATATTTCAACGTTGTGATATAGATAGATAGATAGATAGATAGAAAAAAAAAACTTTATTCTGGGACTAAGTCCCTTCAGAATAACAATAATATACAAAATAATAGAATATTACTGGCCTAAACGTTTGAAACAATAAATAAAATTGATAAAATAAAATAAAAAGTAAAGAAAACCTTAGGTGCACAAGCTATATACAATACAGATAAGACTATGTACAGAGCATTTAAAATTATGAACAAAACAATTAAAACTATGAACGAATCACTTGAACTACGAACAAAATTATATATAAGGGTTGAACAACATAAACATACCCTTTGAGAAATGAAGAACGAAAAAGAGATACAATGAGTTCATTTCATAAAATAAAAAAAATAAAAAAACTTTACTTGAATATATATATAAAAATAAACAGTTAATTATAATTGAATAAAAAAAAAATGTATGTATTGAAATTCCTATGTCGATAGTAGAAAATGCATGTACTATCTCTTACCAAGTATTATGATTATATGATTGCTACCCAATACATATATAATATTAATAGTTAGCTGGTATCTGACTGTTTTTGGAACAGGAATTGGAATAGGAGGTTATATAAACAAAATGTTTTTTGGTTTACATCATACAGCAGACATTTATGTTATGTTTTCCAGAAAGTAACCCAAAAAGAATGGTAAATTCTTTTCATTTAAAAGAAAAGAATATTTATATTTCTCACTTAGACTATAATCCCTAACTTCCTAACTAAACTATCTACAGTTAACTATTGCTCAATCAAAAAGAAATAGAAGCATTTTAAATCAGTTCATAATTTATTTATCTTATTTCAAAACGATTCAATAATTATAACTATATATTGATAACTTACCTACTTCTAATAATTCAACTATATACACAAAGGCAATGTTTCAGTGAGAAACTTGCGATAAACCGGTAGAGGTGGGAGACAAAACGCCAAACAAAATGAAAAGTTTCTGAGTCCCAGAGATGGATCGAATTGTATGTATCAGATACTAAAAAGTATCTGATACAACCAGTAGATACAACTAGAGATGTGTCGGATTTTATGTATCAGATACTTTGTATCTGATACTAAAAAGTATCTGATACTACCAGTAGATCCAACCCAAAAGTATCTGATACAGATACTCACATGGATACAAAGCGGTTGTCCACACATGCCTGATTGATGTAAGAGGAATGTTTAGTTGTGCACAATTTCTTTAGAACTATCTATTCATTTAGTTTAATTTAATTTAATATTTATTTGTAGATAAATATATTCATGCTTATTTTTTTTAATGTAATGTTAATTTCGGATATTTTTATCTGATACTCCTATCGATATTTTTATCTGATTCTGGTATCAGATATTTTTATCTGATACTCGTATCGGATATTTTTATCTGATACTTGTATCGGATATTTTTATCTTATACCTTGACTTGATACACTGAAGAGTAGATACCTCAGCCCTAGGGCTTGATATCCCAATATTTCAATTCTTGATATATTTTAATTCAACTGTAATTGATTGCTAATCGGGTTTGATATTTTTAATACCTATTTGATACCTAATAAAACATATATTAAATATAAAGGAAGGAGATGGTCCCGGGTGGCGGTCATAAATAGGCTAAATAGTGGTAAAACTATTTTATTAAAAACCAACATTTCGACCCGACTTTGCAGGTCTTCTTCAGAGAGGTGTGTTCTTCAGGTCGAAATGTTGGCGTTTAATAAAATAGTTTTACCACTATTTATGACCGCCACCCTCGATCATCTCCTTCCTTTATAATGAAATGGTCAACTATTAAATATTAAATATGTACCTATATATATTTTATTCATGTATTATTAAATTTGTTCCATTAATAAATACTTTATACCATTTTTAAATATAATTGTTTTAATGACTATATAGTTATGAAGATATGTACACAATATTTAAACAAAATATGGTTTATTTTTGACAAAAGGATGGAATATATTAAATAAAAATATAACAAATTCATGCAAAGAAATTTTTTCCTGATAAAAGATTTAAAGAATTTTGTAGCAATTAAAAAAAATCTGTATAGCTAAGTTTAACATACACAAATATATATATATATATTCTGTTTTGATTACAAACCATGTAGATCTTTTGCCACCTTAACAAGTCTGCTCCATCTCTGCCTATCTTGGGCTATTTGTTTCCATTTATTTACATACATTGTTTCCATTTAGTTGATTCTATCTATCCCTTTGCTTTTTGGGCTTCAACTTGGTTTTTTTGCCTTCTATTAAGGCATTCATTGTTACCTAGAGGCTTCCAGATGGATTGGTAGGAGCTAAATGCCCTGTTATCTTTATCACCATGCCTTCATATCATGGGATATTCATTGACCAGTTTCTGTAAGCAGTTCTTTATTGGTCTTTCTTCTCCATGTGTAAGTACTCTGATTCGATATATATATATATATATATATATATATATATATTTATATATATAAAACAAAAATGGCTTACAAAAAATTGAACTTTTAACTTAATTAGTTTGAAATGAAATGGAAATAAGGAGGTGTTATCGACATATTATAATAATTAATTTCATTGCCGAAAAAGACTTTCGACTTTATAAAAATAAACATTTATTAGCATTGTGGTAAACATATTTACATCACAACAAATTATTTAACAACTTCAATAAAATCTCAATTAAAATAAGTAGCTAACAGGTAAATATTAATGTAAATATTTGTTATACATATCTTATTAAATTAAGCATTGGATTGATATTAGTTACTGGACAATAAAATATATATTAAATATTTGCCTATATATATTTTATTCCTTCAATGACTTATTTGTCCCTGTTATAAATGCTTTTCAATATGTTTAACTATAATAATTTTAATAACTGTTTAAGTATGTCAGGCACTATGCACATATGTATACATTTTTTAACATATACTTTTTTGAAACAAAAGTATATGTTTTGTATAAAGGTTGTATGTGTATGTGTTGTATATGTAGGTATAAAGGTATGTGCTTTATACCTAACAAAAGAATGAAATGTATTTAATATAAAAATATATAAATTTTGTAGTTTTTTTTCATATCACCAATTCACATATAAACCACATACCAATTCATATAAACCAATTGTATGTATACCTTGAAGTTTTTATTGCCAAAAATAAAGAAGTTTAATAATGTGATTTGTTACAGTTTAGTGCTTTTGGTGCTTTTTTCTGTAACTGTAATATATTTTAAGGTTTCTAACAGCTTATGAAAATATATTTTGTGGAGCTTAATTATTTGTTGTAATCAAATAAATAATTAAAATATACAGTCATAAATAGAAATGAGAAAAATCCTCCATAGGATAACCAGAGCGATCCGGGATAAGAGTATAAATACGTGGTAAAGAAAGACCAATAAAGAACTGCTTATAGAAACTGAGCAGATGGAGATAAAGATGGAAGGGGCATCTAGCTCCTACCAATCCATCTGGTAGCCTATACATAACAATGAATGCCTTAATAGAAGGCAAAAGATAACATTGAAGACCAAAAAGCAGATGGGTAGATAGAATCAACAAAGATGCAATTGAGCTGTGTGCAGATAAATGGAAAGAAATAGCCCAAGATAAGCAGAGATGGAGCAGACTTGTTAAGGTGGCAAAAGATCTACATGGTTTGTAATGCAAACATAATATATATATTTGTGTATGTTAAATTTAGCTGTTTTAATTGTTACAAAATTCTTAGGATCTTTTATCAGGAAAAAATTTTCTCTTCATGAATTTGTTATATTTTTATTTTTAATAAAATATATCCCATTCTTTTGACAAATATAAAGCATATTTTGTTTAAAAAGTTGTGTACATATCTGCAAAGTACCTGAAATAACTATATAAATTAGAACTATTATATTTAAAAATGAGTAAAGTATTTATTACAGGGACAAATTCAATAATAAAGGAATAAAATGCATAGGTACATATTTAATACATGTTTTATTATATATGTTATAATACCTAATAATATAAATAGGTATTAAGAATATCAAACCCGATCAGTAATCAATTGCAGTTGTTTTAAAATATCCATACAATTATTGGGATATCAAATACTAGCGCCAGTATGCACACTGCTCCCGTATCTACTCTTCAGTTTATCAAGTCCAGGTATCAGATAAAAATATCCGATACAAGTATCAGATAAAAATATTCGATACAAGTATCAGATATAAATATCCGATACAAATATCAGATAAAAATATCCGATACTATTATCAGATAAAAATACCCGATACAAGTATCAGATAGTCATGGGGCCATATAGGCGGAGCTGTAATTCTGTCATTGTGTCTGGGCCGGAGCTGGTGATCACAGAGAGAGGCGCATCTAAATCACAGTGACAGTCACTGTAGGCGCTGTGAAATCACTGTACGCCAACAGTGACCTCCACTGTGCTCCAACAGTGACGATCACTGTTGGCGCTGTGAAATCACAGCTCTGATCACTCCAAACTATCACTTCTTTTTCGCTTCAGCGATCATGGCATTGTTGACATCATTTATTTAATAAATGAATTAAAGGAATAATCATGAAATAATTATTTCTAAAATAATAGTTGTCAAATTTTATTAAAAATACTTTTTGAATTTGGATGAATTGAACATTCATTGCCATATATTTCTGAATGAGTCATGTCTGAAATAATTAACTGAAAGTTTTTCATTTAACTGAAATAAATAAATAAATAAACAGGCTTAACGAACCCGAAGGTTCGATGCCGACACCACCAATCGCTTATTACACAGCTCCCTCCACCGTTCGCCGTCCAGACCCAGTCCCTTCAGATCGGCTTTAATGCAATCTTCCCACCTTCGCTTCGGTCTGCCCCTCGGACGCTTACCATTCGGCACAGCAAATATTAACCTTTTAGGAATTCTCTCGTTACCAAGTCCAACAACATTACAAGCCCATTTGATTCGCCGCGATGAAATTACCTCAATTATATTACCCGGATACAGTTCACGCAATTCGGCGTTGTGTAACCGTCTGAACTCTCCGGTTAACTCATCCTTCTTCGATCCGAATATTCTACGCAATACTTTATTTTCAAAAACCTTAAGACGCTGCTCATCCCTTAATGTAAGCGGCCAAGTTTCGCATCCATAAAGAACTGTAGGCAAGATAATTGTTTTATAGATTCTAATTTTTAAGTTCCAGGACAAGAAGCGCGAACTAAGTAGTTTTGTCACAGAAAAATAACAAGCATTTCCCGCCTTCAGTCTAACCTTAATCTCTTCTTCAATTTCGTTTTTTCTAGTTATCGTAGAACCTAGATACCTAAATTTCTCTACCTGTTCAAACATATTACCATCTATATCGATATCACCAGTAGTATCGCCATTTTTGCAGCTAACCATATATTTAGTTTTATCCACGGTTATTTCAAGTCCTAGTTCTTTACCGACTTTCATTAACGTTGTCGTATTTAGTTTTATAGTTTCAACGTCTTCGCTTAACAGTACCAGATCATCAGCGTAGCACAGCACGGATGTTGTCCCTCCCAGATCCAACCCTTTCTCGGTACGCATTACCTCCCTAATGGAATGTTCTAATGCCAAATTGAACAGAACAGGCGAAAGGGAATCCCCCTGTTTTAAACCCGACCGAACCTCAAATTTTTCGGACAGATTATTACCGATTCTAACTTTATTGAGTGTCTCCGTCAAGCACATCCTGACTAGATTTACTTGTTTTTTTTGGAATCCCCTGCTCGATTAGAATAATATACAGTTTCTGGCGGTCAATACAATCGTAAGCCCTTTTAAAATCTATATACAGCTGGTGAACAATACAGTTGTACTCCAATTTTTTCTCTAATATTTGCCGTAAAGAAAATATTTGATCAATAGTCGAACGATTCCGTCTAAATCAGCATTGGTAGTCTCCGATAACTTCCTCGGCGTATTCCGTGATTCGACTGGTTAAGATTAAAGTAAATATTTTATAACATACCGGAAGGAGTGAAATTCCTCGATAGTTATTACAATCCGTCCTCGGGCCCTTTTTGTGAATCGGAATAAGAATAGATTCTTTCCATTCTTCAGGTAATTTCTCATTCATCCAGATCTTTTTAACCAACCGATGTATTTTAGAAACTCCAGCTTCCCCGCATGCCTTAATTAGTTCAGTAGGAATATTATCGGTTCCCGCTGCTTTATAAAATTTTAATTTTCCGATAGCTACTTCAACTTCCTCATTACCTGGTCCTTCTATTAACGGTTCAGCACTCTGGTACTCAGAAGGAGGACACAGATCATAATTTCCCGTATTTAAAATATTGTCAAAGTGGTCCTTAAACTTATTCAATATGTCAACCGGATCGGTTAGAATATTGTTATTATCATCCCTAATTCCAGACGTTACGGGCCCTACACATTTACGTGATCTGTTTATACCTTTGTACATGTATCTTACGTTATTTTCGATTCTATTAGTTTCTATTTCAATTATTTTATTTTTAAGATACTCCCTTTTTTTATTTTTGAGCAATTTTTTCGTTTCGTTCTTTGAGGTTCGGAAGTATTCCAGATTGTCTTCGCTAGGATTATTTAGAGCTTTTAATTTCGCGGCTTTTCTTTGTTCGCACATGTTTAAGCAATCTTCATCAAACCACGGTTTGTTATTCTTATTTTCCTTTTTTCCTAGACACGATTTGATTACGTGTTTGCGAATCCGGTGATGTCCAAGTATATTTATGAATATCCTTATGTTTAAACGCCGTACTTTTAATTATCAAGTTTTTCGAGATGGCAAAGTTTATCAGACGGATCCCATTATCATTACTATATTCGTGCAAACTTTCTTTATCAATCGTCGGAATATAAACTTCTTCCCTTCCTACCTTTGCGTTCGCGTCACCTACAATTATTTTCATGTAGTTTCGCGGTAGTTTATCATAAACCCATTCGAGTTTATCGTAAAATTCACTTTTGACTTCATCGCCACTGTCTTCGGTCGGACAATGTATGTTTATTAATGCGATTTTAAACCAACGTCCCTGAAATATAGCTACCGAAATTCTATCACTAAAGAATTGTACATCCCTAAAAGCAGATAGTAATCTACTCCTAATTAGAAACCCGGTACTCAAACAATGATTCCCGCTTCCTCCGTACCAAATAGTGTACTTTCCTTTCCTCATCGAGCCCTCCCCTGGCCAGCGAGCCTCTTGCAGAGCCACGACATCTAAATTATACCCATTTACCTCATTTGCGACCTATTTTAGCCCCCCTGCTGTGTTTAAAATCCTTACGTTCCACGTACCAATATTTAAATCCCTATATTTCAACTTGTGCCATGAATCCCCTAAAGCAGTCCCCACCCGGAGACCCGAACGTGGGACTAGTTTACCTCCGGATAATGAGCATTTTACCTTAGGGAGATCCATGACTATTTGTGGTGTTTGGTGAACTAAAGATATGTGAGTAGGGCGTTCAAACCTACGTCACACCCTCCAGCAAGTCTGGTGGGCCCCTACCTCCAGCAAGTCTGGTGGGCCCCTACCTCCAGCAAGTCTGGAGGTCCCCTCCCTCCAGCAAGTCTGGAGGGCCCCTCTCATTTAACTGAAATATAAATAAAAATTAAATAAATTCAAATATTCTCTGCAGAGCTGTATACAGAAACCAAGGGATCCCAGAGATATTTTCCCCCGTCAAATATAAAATTTATCACAAGAATAAAATTAAAAAATTATATTTTATTTTAATATAATTTTAAACACGCAAACTATGATTTCACAGTGACGCCAAGGAGCTACTATATACTTATCACCAAAAAAAATCACCGTAGTGACAAATCATGTGACAGAAAATCTCTGTCACATCCCATCACTAGTATCAGATAAAAGTAATAGGTATTTGGTAATAGGTATGTGGTATACTGACACATTTGTATCAAAGATAAAAGTATCAGATATAAAAAAGTACCTGTATCAGTTGTATCTAGATACAAAAATTCCGGTATCAACCCATCCCTAGTCAAAGATAATAATTACTTACCCGCTTCAAACCTTGAAGGTTATAAACAAAGGCAGAGTTACAGATGGAACGGAACTGATAGAGAATTGAGTTAAGTCGTTCACTGAGGAACGGGTCCTTTTAGCGAACAGAAGTTATTAACCGCTAATTGCTAGGAACGGTGAGCGATTACCGAGGAACGGTATTTCACTAATTCTTTTCTTTCTTTTACTCCGTCTTATTGCTCCCTTCGATCTTAAAAAGTTCATATTTAGAAGAAAAGTGTTTAAATTATCATTAATTTTATGGAGTATGGATTGTTCGTGTTTTTTAATTTTAATTTATTATACTTGAAAAAATAATTTATTTAATAATTAAGTAAAACTGTACTTACCTATTAGTATTCAATACGTATTATTAAATAGTTAATATTTCAATTTTTTTAAAATTTATTTTAATCAATAAAGTTTTGTTAAAATTTCAATTACAATTCTGTATTGTGAATTTAAAGTAATCCATTTTTAATCTACGTTCAATTAATTATAATAAATATTTTAATATTACATTTATTAAAATATGAACAAATTAATAAATTAGAAATGAACCAATAAATTTCAAAGAAAATCGTGGACGGCAACGTCCAGTTTACGAATGAAAGGGAAAGACCGGCGTGTCCAAATGAAATGTCTAAATACACCTTTATATATACATGAATATTTCTCATGCCAAATATGCCATTATATTTAGGAATGAATTCCTTAAGAGTACTTTGATGTTGCCCCGTTCAGCAACTTTTGTCTTCAAAAACAACCATTGCTGTACAGTTAAAAACTAAGCAAAGGTAATATGAGCTTAATTGACGTATATTCAATACTTGCAAATTCATTATTTTATAATGAATTTGATGTAAATTTAAAAATGTGCCCTGATCGATAGATGTGTTAAGATCTCATCGATCAAATTGTAAATAAAACACCGAAAGTCGTCGAATGTGTTATCCACCTGTAATCAGAAGTTACTCAAGTGAACCAGTATGATGTGGTTTCACAACGAATTATAATACCGATAAAATGATATGCATGAAGTTTCACGAATATTCAATGTACAAGTAACTTAACCTGAGAAAAATATGCTAATTTAAAAGTATTCACTTATACTTTATTATGCATAATTTATTCATTATTAAAATTATGAATTATTTATTCTGAATATTCGGAACATAATTAATCTTCTTCTTTTAATTTGTTTATAACTGATCAATTCTTTAATCAATTTTGTCAAATATTTGCTGCATTTTAGTAAAATGTATAGGTTAGCTTAAGCCTGAATTTACTATTTATTTTCAGTTTTACGCCCTCCTTTCACAAATGAACTTTCTCCAAAGAAATGCCCTCCTTCTCCTATGAAACGTCCCCATTTCATATAACGGGTCACCCTGGCACCAAGAAAGTTCCAACTCAAGTAGAGGTGAGGCTACAATATAGTTGTAAATAAACCTCTTTTCTTTGTATGTGTTTAGTGTGTTTTTTCGTCAGGAAAAAACATGTCAATCCACGTAAGTCCATAAAGTTTTGATTAATATTTTATTGTTTTGTACACCATTAATTATTTCTTTCCACTATTGTACATCATTCATTGGCTATTATTTACCGTTTTAACAAAAAAAAAAAAAAAAAAAAGTCAAAAAGCTTTTGTTCTACATAATACAATGATTCATTAATATTTTTTGAAGTGATCTCTTTACTTTGACCACTTTATAGATTTGTATATCTTTCTTAGTTGTACATCTCTGTTTGTTGTTAATTTAGTATCAAAGAATGTCAAAATATATTTATTCAATTAAATTCAGTCAGATGTCTTATTTGAAGTTAATCCCACAGATGTTTGTAGCTTTTATACTATCACTGATATTTTATTTAAATTTAATAAATTTGTTGTATATTACTTCATTCTTATTGTTATTCTTCGAACTTTTCAATGTTAAGAATGTCATAAAACTGAGTTGATAGTTAATTTTTATTATTATACTTCCAGCCATGAGTAACCCAAGTATTTCTATTAAAGAAGAAATAACAGATAAAATTGAGTCCACTTGTAAGTATCCCCTCTTTAAAGCTTATAATGTTGGTCTTCAAGTAATGTCCCTTTTAAATTCCAACCTTACTAAAGAGAATATAATTTTTTTTTTTATTGAGTAGTAAGTACTAGTGATATACCGTCATGCAGAAAACATTACCAATTGATTATTGTGTTTAAAAATTAGGTAATAATAAATTAAGTTACAATATAGTAGTGTCAAGTGTGAATGACAGGTGGGTCAAGATCACATGGTCACATTGTTTATGGAATGTCAAAGCTAGCCAAGAATTATTTAAATAACCAATCGCAATTTGAAATGCACCACATAGTAATATATAATTTGCAACAGTACATACAAATGTAAAAAAAAAACTTGTCAATATAAATACATTGTACTTAACGCATTTTATTTTTTTAATCTTGATCCTGTTTTAATGCATTATCAATTTGCTCTTTGAGTTACTGTTTTTCTATCAATTTAATCACTGTTATTTTACTTTAAATCCTAGCTAACTAATTATAGTCATTAAATTGTGCTTAACAATACAAAAATGTAAATATATGATTTATTTAGATATTTAAAGAACACAATATTATCTAATGTTAAGGATAAGCTGGTTTATGGGCTTATTTATATTTATTAATAGGAAGTTTTGTATATCATTGTCTCTGTATTCTTTCAGACATGCTGGGCTGTTTTCTACATTCCTTGTATAATATGATCTTGACCAATCTAAGAATACCTTAATAATACGTCAAATAATCCTAAATAAAATGTTTTGTACTTAGGCTGTGTTACATTGAATATTTTTATTACATTTTACTTTTAGTTATTATTGTAGTTTTTTTTCTTAAACAATATATATGTTTACCATGTTTATTTTATCATTTCACAGGTATGAGTAACTCTGATATTTCTATCAAAGAAGAAGTAGAAGATGAAATTGAGACTACAAGTAAGTTTTTTTCTGTTTATGTATTTATTATTCTGAATATTTAATTGTGTAAGTTGATTCCTACATTGGGCCAGTTCCTAAACTCAACACTAATTACATGGATTACAGTGATTCATGCTAAGTTTAAAAACAGTGTGTTGTATTGTGAGGAAGGTTAACACTTCTGGATGATTAAAAAATACATATAATGTAATACTTATCTTTAGAATTGTTGAATTTCAAAACAAATAAATATAGATGTAAGGTAAATTGAATATAGATATGTATAGCTAATTGAGAAATAACATCAAAGATGTTATGAGATTACATCTAGCGGATTCATCGACCCTGAAAGGTGATAAAACCACTGAGCCATCAGTTATTTAAGGAATGCACTAAATTCTGTTGATGAGCTTAGGAATGTTCTGATGGATTTCTGACACAACCAATGAGCTCAGCGCTGAGTTTAGGAATTTGCCCAAGTTTTATCAGTTTAGCACAAAATTTAGAATAATATTTGTTCTGAAATGTTTCAGATTTAATTAACCCAGGTGTTCCAATTAAAGCAGAAATGGCAGATAGTACTGAACATAGTAGTAAGTTTTCATTTTAATATTTTTTAATTTTACTGAATGTTTGCCTGAAACTTAAGATTTGTTTTTATGTTTGGTAAATGTAGACTATATTTGACTAACATTTTTTTTTTTTTTCACAAACGACTATTTCTGACCATGCAAATGTCGTTATTTTTCCTTTCTAATTTTCGCTTTTCTCTCCTCCCTGTATCTTCCCCAGTATCATTTTTGCGTGCCTTTGCTTTCTCTCTTTTGACAACAAAGAACCCTTCCGTTTTTCTTTATTTTCCACAAGAACCTTGATTTCTTTTAATTTTTTTCCATATTGCTTCCTACCTCGGCAGTTTTTTTTCAGTTATTTTAAATTACGATTTATTTGATAAACTAAAGCAATGTAAACTGGCTTAAGGTGAATTAGTGTAAATATTTCAATACTCACTAATATTGCTGATCAAAAATTTTTGCAATAGATTAGTATTGTCGAACAATAATTTCTATTAAAAGTAGAGAAAATAGTAAAGCTTGTGTGATGCAGGCAACATATTTTCTTACTTTCACTTAGTCATCTTTATTCTCTCATTCACCCCTTTCTGACACCAGGATATGAACCCGGAATCTTACATTGGAAATTGAATAGCTGTAACTTCGTTAATAGTTATCCAAAATGAACGATTTTTATATAGTTTTGTAGGGAATTTCATTAACTTTCTACAGACAAACTGACAGACCAATGGTTAAAAATGTGTTTTTCGGACTCAGAGGGCTCTGAAACGTATAGATCCGTCGAAAACCGCATATCGGAAATTTGACCCGATTACAATACTTTCCTTACCTAGTATAGGTAGGAAATTATTAAGTTAAAAAATTTGTGAAAAATAGAATAAGCTGTATCATTGCTAATACTGGTTTGATTCCGTTGAATTTTGTTTTGTTTTGTTGGTAATTTAATTACCTTTCAAACGTTTTATTATGAATTTTACTGTATAAGGTATACTTAGGGAGTTAGGCCCCATAACATTTTTCTTTTCTTTATAACTTTTTTTTCTGTATTTTCTCGGAAATTTAGTCCATATATGAAAATTGAAAGGACAATTATTTGAACATTATAGGAAAGTTTCATCAAAATCGTTTAAACCGTTTTCACGCTACAGTCTATAGCAGAACATGTTTTTCATTTATTGCGCATCGAGCACCGAATTTCTGTCACCGACATCAGTAGTCAAAATTCTACAAAATAAAAAAAAAAGCAATAAAATCGGTTCAGTAGTTCCTGGGAAAATCTTGGCACAGACAGACCAATGGCTAAAAATGTGTTTTTCGGACTCAGTGGGCTCTGAAACGTATAGATCCGTCGAAAGCTGCATATCGGAAATTTGATTTGATTCGATTGCAATACTTTCCTTACCTAGTATAGGTAGGAAAGTAATAAAATGGGTGTAAAGAAATTTTCCAGTATAATAAAAATCGTATTACAGACCTGCTTTTGAAATTATTAACTCAAGCTTTAATGGCATTCAAATCTGCTTTGTCATCCTTCTTAAAAAATAATTAAAGAAAAACTTAGACTTTTCAGCTAATATATCTCCGGAAATTGGACACCCTTATGGTCTCCGCTTCAAAAACCATTTAGAAAGAGATTCCTCAACTTCTGAATGACAGCCTAGTTTTAATGTTTTATGTTATTTAGAGACACCAAAAAACCATTTTGACGCTATCACACAAAGCAATTCTAGTAGTATGTAATAAGAAAGAGAGCCATTTCCATTCCATTTCTTATCAGTCAACTTAAACTTTTTTTTTTGTTATTGTCAGCAACAAACCTTCTATATGCCTTTTTATTAATTAAAGGTTGGAAAAGGGTTAGGTAATGTGTAAAGGTTCAACTTTGCATTCTATGATGTAACAATATTGATTTTTGGCTCGAATAATAGTACAACTAAAAAAATAAAAAGGATAAAGAAAAAATTTTATCACCTCAATTGTTATTGTAACTTTAAATTGCTGGTAAATTTTTTCATTTAATATTTTTCTGAAACTGTAAATTGTTCATATTATGTGCAGTCCAAAAATTATTGCATGGATTGCATACATGAATACATTTAACATTGATATATGGTTTTACTTTCAGGTGAGAGTAACTCTAGTGTTACTATAAAAGAAGAAATCCCCGATAAAATTGAATCTACTCGTAAGTATTATTATTTTTTTAAGTTATTAGTTTCTGAAATTTCTTTGTTTAAAAAGATGTATTACACTGGAGAATAAGATTTTTATTTTCTAACTAGTGGAGATAGGGGAGCTTTGTCTTTGTGTAGGTTAAAAGAAAATATTGTTCTCAGATTGTTTTTGTCTTACGTTGTGGATAACAAGGAACAAACTTAGTTTTTCTGACTGTAGTAAAATCGATGTAACGTTTGTATCATATACTACTGTAAATCCGATTTTGATGAATTTTTCAGAGATTGTGTGGGTTGGTACCATGATGCCCCATATCAACCATATTCCATCCACTACTTTCCATTTTGTGTACACATTCACATGTTATGACATAAATCAAAAATGGCTCATTCGATTAGGTTAGAAAAATATTAGTGATTAGTGAAAAAATGTTTCAGTATCAATTTTATTAAATTCCATTCCCTATTTTCACTTGGATGGGTGAATGTATTTTTCTCTATATTTCAAAAACAGCTTGTTCAACTTGGTGACAATCTGGAGGAATCCTGATGAGTAATGTTAAATTGGTCTGGTATCAATTTCTATTTAATAATTAAAATTTACATTAAAGTTTAAGAATATAATGGCTGCAAAATAAAGAAGGCAGTAAATATATGACAATTGGAGGTTATATTTGTTTTTAAACCCAAAGTGAGTTGTTAGATGTGTTTATTGGATCCTTCTGTTCCGTTTTAAATAGAGTTATAATTTTAATGAACCTAATACAATATGGTGAGAATGATATACTTTGCAGACTTTTATTTCAAATTTAAATTATGTTCATCATCAAACTTTATTTTGAAAATGAAATCTAAACTTAAACTGAGAAGGAGTTAGTCGAGGGTGCGCTCAAATAAATAAAAAATTAAAATATATTAATTATTTTAATTTTTGCCGACGTTTCGACCCACTTTGCAGGTCGTCTTCAGAGCGTAGGATGTGGCACTGCGGGAGGCAGTTGAAACACTGGCAGTGTCAAAAAACTCTAGTGACTTTAAAATTTTTATTTTCTAACTAGTGGAGATAAGGGATCTTTGTCTTTGTGTAGGTTAAAAGAAAATATTGGTCACCAGAGTTTTTTGACACTGCCAGTGTTTCAACTGCCTCCCGCAGTGCCACATCCTACGCCCTGAAGACGACCTGCAAAGTGGGTCGAAACGTCGGCAAAAATTAAAATAATTAATATATTTTATTTTTTTATTTATTTGACCGAACCCTCGACTAACTCCTCATATTATATCAACGGTCAAACATCTCTACATCATTCTAAATTTAAACTGTTCTATGAGTTAGCAGCTGACTATCGATGATATATTTACTCTTACCTGGCACCAACAGATGAAATGTTATCTCAGATAGAAATGAATTGAAATCTTTCAAAATTAAAAGTTTAATGTGTTAACATAGATAATCTAAATAATAATATATTTATAGAAATATAACAGTTTATGTGAACAATTTCGTTTTCAACCTATAGGTACCCTTTTATAAGTTCTTCATTACTCCAGTATCACCTTCACTTTGAGCTTATTCTGAGAAAGATATATGAAATTGTTAATAAAATAGCACCACACTATAATCAAACCAAACATAACCTTAATAATTTAATTAAGGAATACATTATGGAATATAATGAAAACATTATAAATATTAAGAAGATAAAACTAAACAAAAAACTCTGCAGACAAATAAGAAACTCTAAAATAAATAAACTATTAATCCCTAAAATAATTAGAAATAATATAAACAATTGCATAACCTCAATGACAGCTACAAATATAAACCACAATGGAAGCCTACCAAATGTTGATAACACACAGGATCTTAATAATGAAAAGATAATACAGAGATACAATAATCTACACACAAAAAACCGAGTGGAAAATCTCACAAAAATTGTATTACCAAAAAATATCATTAACTTATTATCCCTAGGGGAGAATTTCAGTTTTGAATTTAAGAACAAGGATAAAGATATAATAGACTTAATAATGGATATTGAGAACATATTTGGAAATTTAAATACATCAGAGAATCACATAAATGCAACAAGAAATAAAATATGTACTTTTATCAATAACTTTGTATCCAACAAAAATAAAGCAATATCACCCTTCAACATCCAAATAAACGAAGACCTTAGCAAGCTTAAGCAGTTTATTAACCAAAATAAGGACATAGTTATAATAAAATCGGATAAAACTAAAAAAATAGCAATACTCTATAAAAAAGATTACAATGACAAAATGAAGGAGCTATTAAGTGACAAAAACATTTACAGGAAAACAAGAAACAATCCGATACCTGAAATAAATACTAAAGTCAATACATATGTTAATAAACTCCATAAGCTAGGGTACATAGACAGATACATTAAAAATAAACTTTCAGCCTCAGACTCCACTACACCTAGAATACATGGCCTCATAAAACTACACAAAACTGATAACAGACTAAGACCCATAATAAACAACATAGATGGACCAACTGAAGCTCTCTCCAAATTCCTAAACCCATCTCTCAACTCTCTCAATAATAATAATAACTTTGACATCAAAAATGCTAAAGAATTGAAAGAAATAATTAAAATTTTCCAATGTGAGTCAAAAGATGTAGAAATCATAAGTTTAGATGCAGAGTCACTTTTCACTAATATCCCATTAGATGAATGTATAAAAATTATTGACGACAACTGGGACAGTGTAAAAAGTAAAACTAAAATCAAAGACAAAAGAATATTTATCGAGGGAATAAATCTCTGTACAAGAAATAATTATTTCAAATACAACAATGAATTCTATAAACAACTTTGGGGAGTCGGGATGGGAAGTACTCTATCAACGAATATCAACTGCTATAAAAACATAGCAGAAATTAATTAAGTGGTACAGAAAACGGAACATTCGTAGGTAAGAAGAGATTATTTCGCTGACAGGCGTAAACATTTGGGTGAGTGCTAACAATGCCATTTATGTTGACAGAGGGATAGAGCCACAAAGTTTAGATTGGGACAATCAAGGTTTTTGAAAACAATAATAAATGTTATATGTATAATTAGTGTATTTAGTAATTAGTAAATTATAGTTATTTAATGTTGAATGAGTGTTCAGTTGTTAGAACCCCACCTGAGAATTTATGTTATGTGTTAAAATAAATAGTATATTGAAAAAGTAAACTCCTTGTTTGATATGGAGGGAAAGAGGAACGTTACAACATATATATATATATATATATATATAATTAAAAATAATTAAAAAAACATGGGTTTGCTCTAACTGCGAACAGGTGAAAAAACAAAATACCGAGCCGTCCCCCTCAGAAATACTTGCGGCAGTAAATCGTTTAGACGCTACCGTGAACGAAGATATAAAAAACATGAAAACAGCACTAGATAAATACGGAGAGCTCAGTTTTGAACTAAACGAAAGACTGACGAAGATTGAAAAACATCTGGAAGGTCAAGCTAAAAAGTTTGAGGAGATACTATTAGAAAACAAAGCACTCAAATCCCGAGTGGGCGAATTAGAGGTTCGCTTGAATAACGCAGAGCAAGGACTATTGAGTAGATCACTGGAGATCCGCGGTATACCGGAGCGACCGGGCGAAACGCCCGCTGCTTTGGTGACCAGTATAGGAGCAAGCTTGGGATCAGGCTTAGTGTGGAGGACCTGGACAACGTACATCGCCGCAGAAGCCGAAAAGATGACTCGCGACCACCGCCTGTTATCGCACGCTTTGTCAGGCAATCAATTAGAGATGATCTAATTACGAAAAGGAAAGTGAAGAGGGATTTCTCCACGCGGGATATCGGTTGGCAGGAAAATGACTGCCACCGAATTTATCTGGGTGAAGAGATGACTCGCACAAACAGACACCTCTATTGGCTAGCCCGGCAGAAGAGAGCGGCGGGAAAAATCAAATATACGTGGTTTGCTTCCGGAAAGGTGCGGTGTCGAAAAGAGGACGGACATAGAGTCATCCTGATAGAACAGGCCTCGGATCTAGATGTATTTGACTGACTACCTAGAAGCCGTCAACCCCTTAGCCTCATTAAAATAGTCTTACTTCTTCTCTTAGTGCTATCTCTACACCGTCACTCATCAATCTATTTATTTTCAAGTACATTCTCTTTATTTATTTTTAATGTTAATATTACTTTTTCTTCACTTAGTTTCATGTACGATAATCGCTTTTCTGTACTTTCTACTCGTTTTGTCTTCTCGCTACCAAACACTGACTGTTTCTCTCCAAATCCACTGTATGTCTAGTTCCCTAATCACATGTCAAGTTAACTCTCAATCACTTTCTGCCCATTATGACGAATTCCTGCAATACTTTACCCAAAACTTTTATCATATCATAGCAATATCCGAAACCTGGCTCAAACCTTATATTCCATCATCTTCAGTCTCCTTGCCTGATTACATCCTGCTCCGTCATGACCGGGTAAACCGGACTGGCGGTGGAGTAGCCATGTTTGTCCACAATAGCCTAAAGACCCGAATCCTCGATTGCTCCCCATCTTCCGATCATCCTCATGTAGAATACCTCTTAGTAGAAATTCTCAGTAATATTTCTCCTATCCTTTACGCCGTGGTATATCGCCCTCCTCTCGTGCCATTTGACCCGTCCTTCGAATCAACTCTATTCAACTTCGTTCCCCTCTATCCCAGAATAATTATCTCCGGTGACCTCAATACCAATTTCCTCTCAAACTCCAATGACAAATCCTATTTAGAAAATCTGTTTTTCTCACTTCACCTATTCATCGTTCCTTTTTCCTCCACCCACCACACCACCAGATCTGACACTTGGCTAGACTACTACATCATCGACTCAGCACAAAACCTCCTCTCCGCCTCTCAATTGCCAGTATCCTTTCTTTCATCTCATGATCTGATACAAATAACGTATAATATCCGCACTCCTCCAATCCATCCTCGAACTATCACTTTCCGCCAACTGGATACCCTTACTCGAGAAAAAATATTACCTGATCTAGTAACATTGGATTTGAATGGAATATATCATTGCTCCTCTGTCGACACCATGGTTGATATTCTCACCACCAATCTTCTCAATATACTCAATACCCACGCTCCTCTGAAAACCTCCACTTTCCGTCATCGTCCTGCTCCTTGGATGTGTCAGGAAATTAAGGATCTGCAGAAGAGACGCGACGCTGCACGCAGACGCTTCAGACGGACTAGGCTTGCAGATGATTATCAAATATTCAGAGTGCTTCGTAACACGACACAGACAAGGATCCGACAAGCGAAAGCGAACTACTTTCACGAAGCCCTTTCCTCAGCTCCTGATATCAAATCAAAATGGCTTCTACTTCGTAAGCTTTCCCTCTGTGAACCTTCTAGATCCCCTTCCTCAGTTTTCCCAATATCACCTGATGACCTAAACTCCCACTTTATATCGGTTTCCACCTCTTCTTTACCATCCCCTTCCGGCTTTTCTCCAGAGGTACCTTTTAACGACAATAATTTTTATTTTTCCGACATTTCTCCCACAGACCTTATTACCGTTATAATGAAATCCCGTTCCAATTCCGTAGGCCCAGATGGCATTCCTATCAAACTAATAAAATTATGTCTCCCTGAAATCCTCCCAGCACTCCTTTTCATCTACAATTTCTCCCTGCAGAATTCAATATTCCCGACCTCTTGGAAAAAAGCCATTGTCCTTCCTTTAAACAAAAAGCCTAATCCATCCTCTCCCGAAGATTTCCGCCCAATATCAATCCTTTCCAATCTTTCTAAACCCCTAGAAAAGTTAGTGCAATCCCAAGTTTCCAACTACCTTGAACAATCCAACCAACTCGATCCTCTCCAATCTGGCTTCCGTCCTGGCTACTCTACACAATCTGCTCTGATTAAAATTACTAGTGATATCCAGACTGCAATAGATGACAAAAAACTAACCATACTTATACTGCTTGATTTCTCCAAAGCTTTCGATTCCATTATCCATTCCATCCTTTTCAACAAACTAAAATCATTATCCTTCTCCAATAGTTCCATCTCTTGGTTCCAGTCTTTCCTCTCACAACGAACCCAAGCAGTTTCCATACCTAATCAACCTCTATCTGCCTACCTTCCTTTATCCTCAGGAGTTGCACAGGGTTCAAGCATGTCTCCTCTTCTTTTCAGTTCTTATATTAATGACCTAAATGATTCAATTATCCATTGTTCCCACCACCTTTATGCCGACGATTCTCAAATCTATTTATCCTTTTCTCCCGCTGAGTTATTGGTGGCATTTGCCAAAATTCAAGAAGATTTAGATCGAATTAGTGCCTGGGCCAACTTAAATGGATTAAGGCTAAATGCTGCCAAAACTCAGGCCATTCTCATTGGTTCCAAGCCCCTTCTTAGATCCCACACCAACTTTCCCTCACTCTATCTAAACAACCACCCCATCACCTTCTATCCCTTTGTTAAAAATTTAGGCTTTCTCATAGATCAAACCCTTTCCTGGAATCACCATATCTCTCATATATCCCGCCGTGCAATTTCTACCCTCAAACTATTCCATCACTTCCGCCATCTTCTACCCCAAAATACCCGTAGACTCATAGTTTCCTCTCTCATCTTTCCCCACTTTGACTACAGCTGTGTGGTGTACGATGGCCTCTCGGTGGAACTGCGTGATAGACTCAAAAGACTTATGAATTGCTTCGTAAGATTTGTAATTGGAACCCCGAGACGCTCCCGTGTCTCCCACCACTACACTGAGTTAGGGTGGCTCTTCCCCTCCTTAAGAAGACAATATTTCCTTGGCACTTTCCTTTATCAAATCATTACCGATCATCGTCCTTCTTATGCCTACAACCTTCTCCAATTTAAGTCCTCAATCCATTCACTCACTACAAGATCCCGACCCTCTGACCTATACATCCCTTCTCATAGATCTGCCTCATTCCAAAATTCCTTTATAGCCCGCTCTGTCAACTTTTGGAATTCCCTCCCGATCAAAATTCGACATGCCCCTTCCCTGTATACATTCAAAAACCTCCTATTCCAATTCCTGTTCCAAAAACAGTCTGATACCAGCTAAATATTGATATTATATATGTATTGTGTGGCAATCACATAATCATAACACTTGGTAAGAGATAGTACATGCATTTCCTACTATCGACGTAGGAATTTCAATACATGCATTTTTTTTTTTTTTTATTCAATTATAAGTAACTGTTTATTTTTATATATATATTCAAGTAAAGTTTTCTTTTTTTTTTTTATGAAATGAACTCATTGTATCTCTTTCTCGTTCTTCATTTCTCAAAGTGTATGTTTATGTTGTTCAACCCTTAAATATAATTTTGTTCATAGTTCAAGTGATTCGTTCATAGTTTTAATTGTTTTGTTCGTAATTTTAAATGCTCTGTACATAGTTTTACCTGTTTGTATATAGCTTGTGCACCTAAGGTTTTCTTTACTTTTTATTTTATTTTATCAATTTTATTTATTGTTTCAACGTTCAGGCCAGTAATATTCTATTATTTTGTACATTTCTGTTATTCTGAAGGGACTTAGTCCCAGAATAAAGTTTTTTTTTCTATTCTATTCTATTCTATTCTATATATGAGTATATTTTCTTGCCAATTGTTCTGGTGATGAAAGTATTGACATCTAAAGATTTTTGCGATTTTTATATTCTTGGATTTATCTTTTTATTTATACTTTTATCAACTGTATTAATTGTTAAATTCTGTTGCAGTTTCCCAAAAAGAAACTGATGAAGAAGAAGTTCTTCAGATTTATTATAGTGAGTAAAATTTTAAATATGTATAATCTTGTTCCCAAATAAAAAAAAAATTAAAAGAACTTTTACCTGAAACTTAATATATAAAAATACAAATAAAAAGTATTACTTTTTTGTTTGATTCCTTTGAATGCATCAAAGAAGAATCACAGATAGCAAACATTAGAAATATCTACCTTAAAAATTAAACATTTTTAATTGTTTAGGTGTTGCTAAACATTCCTTAATTATGAAACAATTTATTTGCAGGTGCAAATGATTCATTCAATCAGATCAACAATAATGGAGTAGAAGTACCCATGGATTTAAAGAAATTAGTTGTATCTACCATGCGTGTAAATACAGGTGAAGAGTCCTGTCTTAGTCTTAATTATGATAAGTAATTTGTCAAAGCTAAATTTTACTAAAATTATCTTGTACTGTCATGCAGGTGGGAGGCCTCAGCCATGTCCTCATTGTGATTATAAATCAGTTAATTCTAATAATTTGAAAAGACATATATTGGCCCGTCACCTGGGAGAGAAGCCTCATCAGTGCCCTCATTGTGAATATAAATCAGTAAGAGCTCAAGATTTAAAAAGACATATAATGTGTCATCACACAGGCGAAAAGCCTTATAAATGTCCTCATTGTGAATATAAAACTGCCCAATTTACTAATTTAAAAACACATGAAATGTTACATCACACAGGTGAGAAACCTTATCATTGTCCTCATTGTGATTATAAATCTGTTAGTTCTCCGAATTTAAAAAGACATATAATATCCCGCCACACCGGGGAGAAATCTCATCAATGTACTCTGTGTGATTTTAAATCGATAAAGCCTCATGACTTAAAAAAACATATACTCAGCAATCACCCTGGAGAAAAACCTTATGAATGTTCCGAGTGTGATTATAAATCAGTGAGATCTCAAGACCTAAGAAGGCACGTAATGTGCCATCACACAGGCGAGAAACCTTACCAATGTCCTCATTGTGACTATAAAACTGCTCAATTCACTAATTTAAAAACACATGAAATGTTTCATCACACAGGCGAAAGACCTTATCCTTGTTCTTATTGTGATTATAGATCAGTTAGTACTGCAAATTTAAAAAGACATATAATGAGCCGACACACTGGGGAAAAACCTTTTCAATGTTCTCTATGCGATTATAAATCAGTGAGGTCTCAAGAATTGAAAAAGCATATAATGTACCGTCATACAGGCGAGAAACCTCATCACTGTCCTCAATGTGATTATAAATCAGTTAGGGCTCACGATATAAAAAGACATATCAGGTACCATCACTCAAACGAGAAGCCGTACGAGTGTCCTGAATGTGATTATAAAGGTGTTCAATTTTCTAATTTAAAAACGCACATAATGTCCCATCACTCTGAAGCAAAGCCATATCATTGTTCTGAATGTGATTATAAATCAGTTAATTCTACAGATCTAAAAAGGCACATAATGTTCCGTCATAAAGCTGAAAAGCCACACCAATGTCCTCTCTGTGATTATAAATCAGTGACGAACTCTCATGTGAAAAGACATATAATGCACTGCCATGCGCAAGAAAATCCTTGTTAATATTTAAATTTCGGTTATTCATTATTCAATGAATTCTGAACTTAGTAAAAGACATTGGGCTCTCACTTAGGTAAGGCCAAAGTTATATCACAAAGGTAGTTTCAGAAAAAAAAAAACCTTGAGAGACCTGATAGCCTTTGGCAAATTATGGAATGAGGCAGGTATTCTTTTCATAGTTTTTAATGGGGAATATGGTTCAATTTTTAGAATGGCGTTCTACTTTGAAAATAAATCGTTGACCATCTTCTCAAAGATGACGTACATTACAGCCAGCTTATTGAGCAGCATTAGCAGGATGGTGATGAATGAGAAGTTAGACGAACTTTTTTTCATTTGACGAGTTCTACAAGGCAACATCCCCTCGTCACTGCTGTCCAACTCAATCATCCAAGCTGTTGTAAAAAAGGCAGAATTGAATGAGATTGGTGTCTTTCATTTTTACTGTAGCTTATTTTTTTTTATAGTGACAAGTAGCCTTGTTTATGATTTTTATATTAATTATAGAAAGATTATTAATTTATATGTTACAATAAAAGTTTTTAATAGAGTGAATAGTGTTTAACCATTTTAATTAACTCCTTTCTCATGGCATTATGAAATCTATCCTCTTATTTCTTTTAGAACCAAAGTATTTTATGTTGATCTATCAATATCTAAACATTGTGTAAGTAAACTCTTACACAGTTTGTATACAATTTTGTAAATATATATCGACTGTGTAAAGACTACATGCATGAATTATATTGATGTCAATCAAATTGGTTGGTATCAAATTTTTTAAGTTCTTCCATATTATTGAAGGAGTGTAAATATTATTCTATGTGTAATAGCTCTCTTAAAAAATATTAAATCATTTAAGGACAAAAAATAGTCAGGAAATGGAGTCATTAATGGAGTTGTTAAGTTTGCTAACATTTTAACCCAAACAGGTGCCTCATCATCAGAGTTTTATTTCAGAAAAATGATATATTTATCTGTATGTGTATGTATATATATATATATATATTATTATTATTTATAAAGGAATGTGAATAAGAGACAAATAAAAATAGAGTGTACACATGAGATAACATAACAATTAACTAAATAAGTTTTTTGTTATAAATAATTACAAAAGTAAGTTTTAATATCTCTTTCTTATATTTTTAAACTAGTAATAAACCTTAGGAAATCACTTCAATACTATTGGAATACTTCCTAAATTAATAAGAGGTTTTTAAATAATAAACAAAATTATAAGAGTATTAATATATTAAATTGAAGTTTATAATTATTTTATCTCAAAGTATGGGTTACTGACAATCAGATCAAAACACTCAGACAAACTATTATTATTTACACTATTTGTACTAATAGTAGTATAATTATAGTATTAAATTAAATATGATTATTTTAAAATAAAATTAAACATGAATTGTCAAGCTAACATTTTTTCTATTAGCACTGTTTCTTCCTTTGTGGCACTGAATTACTTTGTCTTTAAACGCTTTCCAATGATCTCCCAAACGCAACTTCCAAAATGGTGATACTTTCATCTATTTAACTCAAGTTCCCTGGGAGATCCTCTTGTGATTACAAGATTGTAATACTTGGGTTGTGTGTGCATGTGGGTCATCATGGCAATGGTAACTGTTTAGTCTAGCATCTAGAACTCAACTTGTTACTAGACTAGACAGTTACCATTGATTGTCCTTATGCTAGCTAGGGATGGGTCGGATTGTATGTATCAGATACTTTTATCTGATACTAAAAAAGTATCTGATACAACCAGTAGATACAACCAAAAAGTATCTGATGCTCACATAGATACAAAATGGTTGTCCAGACATGCCACATTGATATAAGAGAAATGTTTAGTTATAATTTTAGTTGTGCACAATTTTTTTAGAACTATCTATTCATTTAGTTTAATTTAATTAAATATTTATTTGTAGATAAATATATTCACGCTTATTTTTTTTTTTTTTTGTGTAATGTTAATTTCAGATATTTTTATCTGATACTGCTATCGGATATTTTTATCTGATACTAGTATCAGATACTTTTATCTGATATTTTTATCAGATATTTTTGTCTGATATTTGTATCGGATATTTTTATCTGATATTTGTATCGGATACTTTTATCTGATATCTGGACTAGATACCCAGCGGTATGCATACTGGCACTTGGGCTTTTTAGTTAATATATAATAGTTCTAATGACTGTATAGTTATGTCAGGTACTAAGAAAATATTTACACAATTTTTTAAACAAAATATACTTCATATTTGACAAAAGAATGGAATATATTAAATAAAAATATAACAAATTCATGCAGAGGAAATATTTTTCTAATACAATGCTCTTAAGAATTTTGTAACAATTAAAAAAATTCTTTATAGTTAAGTTTAACACACACACACACACACACATATATATATATTTTTTTTTTTTCTGTTTGAATTACAGACCATGTAGATCTTTTGCCACCTTAACAAGTATGCTCAATCTCTACCTCTCTTGGGCTATTTCTTTCCATTATCTGATATTTTTATCTGATACCTGGACTAGATACCCAGCGGTATGCATACTGGCACTTGGGCTTGATATCTCAATAATTGTATCAGATATTTTAATCCAACTGTAATTGATTATTGATCGGGTTTGATATTTTAATACCTATTTGATACCTAATAAAACATACATTAAATATGTACTATATATATTTTATTCCTTTATTATTAAATTTGTCCCTGTAATAAATATTTTACACCATTTTTAAATATAATAGTTCTAATGACTTTATAGTTATGTCAGGTACTATGAAGGTATTCACTATACGATAGCTAAGTTTAACATACTCACACACATCTATATTTCTTTTATTTTCACTGATCAATCTACATCTTGGGATTTAGATTATATAGGACTTGTATAATGTTTACAATACTATTATTGTATTCTTTGAACCTATTAAATTACATATGTAAATCATTTAATATGTAATATGTAAATATATATCCACTCTTTTATTATTATTTTTTTCATTAATACAATATTATGACAACAAAAGTAATTTGTCGTTCATTTCAAATTTCAGTTAAAATTCCATAGTTCATTGCTGTTTAGTAACTATCTTGCTGTATTGGGACCTCATTGCTCATATTATGTCTTTAATATATCAGTATAGTTATGTAAATCCTTCTGTTATTACTTATTTTTTAGTTTTTTTTATTGTAATATGCATTTTGGCCAGATGTTATGTTAATTTTTATGTACAATATTGTTATTCTCAAGAGACTTTGTCCCAGAATAAAGGTGATTATTCTATTCTATATATATATATTTATTTTTTCTGTTTGTATTACAGACCATGTAGATCTTTTGCCACCTTAACAAGTATGCTCAATCTCTGCCTGTCTTGGGCTATTTTTATTATAGTAGGCAAAAGACCACGTCGAAGGCCAAAAAGCAGATGGATAGATAGAATCAACAAAGATACAATAGAGCTGCGTGCAGTTAAATGACAAAAAATAGCCCAAGACAGGCAGAGATTGAGCATACTTGTTAAGGTGGCAAAAGATCTACATGGTCTGTAATACAAACAGAAAAAATAAATATATATATAGAATAGAATAATCACCTTTATTCTGGGACAAAGTCTCTTGAGAATAACAATATTGTACATAAAAATTAACATAACATCTGGCCAAAATGCATATTACAATAAAAAAAAACTAAAAAATAAGTAATAACAGAAGGATTTACATAACTATACTGATATTTTAAAGACATAATATGAGCAATAAGGTCCCAATACAGCAAGATAGTTACTAAAAACAATAAACTATGGAATTTTAACTGAAATTTGAAATGAATGACAAATTACTTTTGTTGTCATACCATTGTATTAATGAAAAAAAAATAAAAGAGTGGATTAATATTTACTTTAAATGATTTACATATGTAATAGTATTGTAAACATTATACAAGTCCTATATGATCTAAACCCCAAGATGTAGATTGATCAGTGAAAATAAAAAATATATATGTGTGTGTGTGAGTATGTTAAATGTAGCTATTAAGAATTTTTTCAATTGTTACAAAATTCTTAAGAACGTTGTATTAGGAAAATTTTTTTCTCTGCATGAATTTGTTATATTTTATTTAATATATTCCATTCTTTTGTCTAATATGAATCACATATTGTTTTAAAAACTGTGTGAATATCTTCATAGTACCTGACATAACTATAAAGTCATTAGAACTATTATATATTAACTAATAAGTCCAAGACTAGACCAGATACCAAGCGCCAGCATGCATACCGCTGGGTATCTAGTCCAGGTATCAGATAAAAGTATCCGATGCGGGTATCAGATAAAAATATCTGATACAAATATCAGATAAAAATATCCGATACAAATATCAGATAAAAATATCTGATACAGATATCAGATAAAAGTATCTGATGCCAGTATCAGATAAAAATATCTGATACTAGTACCAGATAAAAAGTAGTAGGAAGGTCATGAACTATTGACCCATTTGTATCAGATACAAAAGTATCAGATACAAAAAAGTACCCGTATTAGTTGTATCTGGATACAAAAATTTTAGTATCAACCCATCCCTAATGCTAGCGCACATGCTTGGATTGAAATATCTGCAAGTCTAATAAACCATATCTAGATTGCAAATACTTTCTGTTTATCATCCTCATCATCTTAAAATAATGGTTATCAATATAACCTTCTCAAAAGTAAGAAAACAAGAAGATATAAATTTTAAAACAAAACAAAAAACTTCAAAAGGTACCAAACAACTAAAAAGAAAAAAATAATTTTACTTATTTAAGTATATTATTTAGTCAAACAATTAACTATTTCAAATCAGAGAGAGAAATACTTTATTGAAAGTAGTGCTGCTCTACTTTATAGGATAGCTTTTTACACAGCATACTAATCAATACACATGGACATAGCTCTTAAATCATATTCCATTATTATGTAAACACTGTTTTTTTTTTTTTATCCTTTTTCACAACACTAGTCCATATATCATTAACAATAGCACATTAAACAATTACCATTATGCAATACATATATTTTATGAAGAAAAAAAAGGAAGTATTGAAATGCTAGAAATACAAGACTAAATCGTACAAAAATATCAACGCAATAACTTTAATGTAGACAAAAAGTTAAAAAATTAAAATAAAATGAATAAATACATAAATTGACTTAAGACATTCTAGATTCGCAGTCAATTGCTATACAAGTGATAGTGGGTGATCTCTAGGGAGTCCACAATAATAAGCCAATATCCCAAGCTCCTCATCAACACCTGTTTCCTGGAGAAAGCTCCTTATTCTTTTTGGAATTGTTCCGCCAGACCCAAACCAGAGGCCTCTCATGGTGGCCTCTTTTTTTTTTTTTGTCTGTGCAAAGACTTCACTTGAACTAATTGTAAAATCTAAGAAGTGTAACATGGCTTAATGTGATTTTAAAAAAGATAAATTATTGTACATTTTCAAATTTATTGGAAATAGTTACATATGTTATTTAATAATATATCGTTGGAAGTAAAAATCTTTCTTTTTAGTTGTCCTTTGTATCTTTTTATTTATTTAAGTTAGTTTTTTTTTAGCAGATTTTGTAATAGGGTCTGTGGAAGATTCTTATCAACAATAAAGCAAGTCTAGTAATGTTAAAACGTAATCTATTATGTGTGAAATTTCTTGGATAGTGACATGGGAGTAGTAGAAAAATTTAATAGTTCTTAGAGATCAGGATGATGCCTGCCCTGGGGCACCAAGCTGGTAAGGTATGGCCACCACTTCTTATAAATTAAAAAAAATACGAAGTGTATGAGAATAAAGAATTTTAGCTGATTAATAAAAAAATGCGCGCACTTTTTTTTTATGTACTTTTAATAGTTCTTTATCTCTATTATAGAACTTTTAAACAATTTGTGTACCATTTTTATATTCGAAAGGTAGAGGTTTATAAGTAAGATATTTAAAAACTTCTAATCAAAGACAGGAAACTAATTCTTAAAGGCTGGAGATAATTTGAATATAGCACTTGCAACACTATTGGACTTTCAATTTAGGAATATGCATGTCAACGATGACAGAAATTGTGCTGATGTGATTCATTCAATAGCTTATCTCATGGGTCAACAAACTATGGCACACAAGCACCTCCAGTTCGGCCCCCGAAAGTTTTTTTGATTACATAGTAAAATTTTTAAAAATACGAAATTAAATAAATCACTGAAACATAAAGTTTCTACAATATTTAATTACATGAGTTGTTTATCTTAGAAAGCTCATTTCACATCTTAAGTGTCAGTTATTTATCACATACAATGGCCCGCGAAACTTAGTGGGGAGGCCTCAATGCGGTCCGCGGGCCAAAACGTTTGGAGACACATTACGTACGTCATTGGATGTGACTTAGTAGTGTTCATCAAACGAAGACGGCTGTAAGTATAAGTAAAGAACCTTAAATATTTTAAAGCCTTGCAAGAATATTCTTTATTGAAAACCCTTCAATAAAGCAGATTCACTTTGAAATATCCCGCTATTTGAAAAAAAAAAACTTTTAACATGTAATAAATATTTAAATTATTAATTATTTGCGGCAGTGAATCTAATAACAAAGAGGTGTGATTTGAATTACAAACAACTTACATCTAAATACAAATTTAGACCTCTATGCTCAATGTTTATAACCTTCATTGAACTTGCCCAAGATTCTTTGCTATCCTATGCTTTTCTTTTGCACTCGTGTTTTTTATTTAATGACCTAATTCTGTTCATCCACAGAGTTTCATGTCAGATTCCTATTAAACTTTAGGTAAGACAACAGTTTAGTTGGAAATAAACCTTTCCATAGTGGTCAATTTTATTCCTATTGAGTTTGTGGCAATGCCCAGGCACTTCACTCAAGTTATATTTTGAATATATATACCTATTCTATACTCATGATGAGTGTACCTAATTAACGAAAAATTTGTGCAGAAAAACATGGTGTAGTTTTTTTTAACTATCAAAAGACAACCTACATCACTGGTTTACTTTCCAGCCTAAGTTAGATAAGGTTTACTCTGAATCTGCAACACAAATGATGAATTATGCTACCAATAATAGAAATTACAGTACCTTTTTTTCATTGTTATTCTGTTTATTTCCTTTCCTATGAACATATAATGAGATCAACTTATAGCAACTACCACTTCCTATTTATTTTATTATTACTACTTACTCCTATGCTTTATTGGTATCTCTTGATATTCCATTTGATTTCTTTGTTATTTCATTTAGATTAGATTGGATTAGAGAATCTCTTAGATCCATAAAGCCAACCGAAACTACCAATTGGGCAGTGGTGACGGATTCGATAAGTTCAATACAAGCCATTAAAAATACCAGGTTAACAACTACTTTAGCGAAAGAATTAAGAAAGGCAAATTAATAAGATTCATATGGGTCCCTTCCCATTGCAGGGTAACTGGAAATGAGCAGGCTGACCTAGCAGCCAACATGGCAAGAAAGGCAAGCACAACTCCGGTGGAACTAATTAATAAAATCCCTTAAGATTACATGAGAAAGATTAGGATGTGAGGAAAAGTGTAAGCAAAATGACTCTAAATTGAGAGAAATAAAACCCCACTGTTCAAAATGGGAAACCTCTTGTCGATCCTCTAGAAAAGAAGAGACAGCCCTCTGCAGATTACGAATTGGACATTGTGAGTTCTCACACGCCTACCTACTAAAAGGACTTGATCCTCTGACCTGTGAGAGCTCCAATGTCCAAAGAACTGTAACACACATTATTCAAGACTGTTCTACACAAAAAAATATCAGAGACAATTTGGATATAGCACCAAACCTGTCAGAAAACCTAAAAGACAAAGAAAATGCTGTGAAAAATATATTAGAATTCCTAAAAGCGGTGAAACTCTACAATAGAATTTTATTAGAAGGTGTTGCCAATGACCATCAGGGTAGAGGCAACAAAAAACAAACTAAATAAATATTTTATTTTGCAATGCTTTGTTAATTTCATTAAGTTGTTACTGTTATTTATTTATTTTTTAGACTGAAACGTTGCCATTAATAAAATAGATATAGTTGATTTTTACATACTTTTTATGACTGCAATCCCAACCAACTTCTCTTATATATTACAAATACTAGCACTGTGGCCTGATCATGGCTACAGCATGGAATATCTCAAACTTACAAAAATTGAAAAAGGATAGTAATTGTGAAGGTTGCAAAGCACCAGAAGACCCATAGCACATAATACTTAGATGTTAGAAAGAAACAGGATTAACCCAGGAGAAGACGCTATATTCCTACAAACAACTTGACTACAGATTAAAATATTTTTCACAAATTTAGTTAAGCTCAAATATGAAGAAGTCTTTTATACAAACTTAATATATAAATATAGAATTTCTTTATTTTTCTTTTTACATTTTCTTATTACATTCTTTGCGCTATATATTTTCATTTATATATTTCCCCATTCTTGTACCATTTTCGGTGTATTATGTTTAATTATATTATTTTTATATTCAAACATTTTTCTTTAAAAATGTATATTGACCAAATAGAGTTTGATGACAAATCTCGGTAGTCATTTGTGTTAAAATAAATATATAAAGCAACATAGTCATCTGTAAGAAAAAAAAATATCCTAATTTACTCCAATACGTATTTAAAAAATCTCCTATGCTTTATTTTTAGTGGTTGCAAAATATAAATATGGAGAGCTGTGCTATGCATTAGAAAAAGTTTTTTCACTCAGAGCCACCAAAAATAAATGGCTGGATAGATAATTAGTATACTTCAGAGATTTCCTATTCTGGTTTGTGTGGAGTTTGACTGAAGATTTTGAACAAAATTGATCATTCTGTTACATATGTGATGGACAAGTATTCCCACATTTATCTTTGTTTTATTGCTATTTTTTATTCTGTGAACAGCTACTGCATTTTATTAATTTTTTTTTTTGCCATTGCTAACATTGTTGGATATTTAAAACAATTGAAAAACCTCCTTGGCTCAGATATTATTTTTTAACCTGTGTCTACATAAAGAAAAAAAATATAACAATTATCTTTTAAAAGGTTGTCCATGCGATTTTGGGACAATGGATAGGTTTACAGTTTTTTTAATTTTTAAGAACTACGATTGCCTCATTTTTATTCATATTATTGGCCAGAAAATGATTAATATTTTAAAAGTTAAGTTGTTTTAATTAGATTTCTTTTGGTATAAAGCTAAATATATTTTATGAGAAGGAATTAGTCGAGGGTGCGGTCAAAAAAAAAAAATATGAAATAAAAAAAATAAAAATAAAAAAAATTGAGTGTTTCAACCGCCTCCCGCAGTGCCACATCCAACGCCCTGAAGACGACCTGCAAAGTGGGTCGAAACGTCGGCAAAAATTAAAATTATTTATATATTTTAATTTTTTTTTTTTTGACCGCACCCTCGACTAATTCCTTCTCATATCATATCAACGGTCAACCAACTCTACATCATTATAAATATATTTTAGTTCTGTTTTCCATCAAGCATTTGTTGTGTTTTTTAAAAAATATATTTTTTCAGATATGATGAGTGATTCCAGTGTTTTCATAAAAGAAGAAATGAAAGATGAATCTGAATCTACTTGTAAGTTTTTTTCTTTTGTATTACATGATTTTTAAAATTGTTTAGTGTAAATTGATACAATTTTTATCTATACTTACTAGCTCATTGACCAATAAAATTGGTAAAATTTTTAAAAACTTAGCATCTGCATTTATTTATGTATTAGTTTCAAATAATTAATTTAAATCACAATTCATTACTAAAACTCTTTTATTTTGAAAAGTAGGTTAGATTTTTATATAGACATAATATAATTTTACTTTGATGGAATGGAACTTTCAATATACTTCATATTATCAGAAAATAGATCTCAAATTAATTTTTTTTAAAAATGAATATGAGGAGAAAAGTAATTAAACTTATATAAAAAAAAGTGATTATTTTCAATATTATGTGTACTATTGGCCAAAATGAACAGGCCTATATATAACTATCTTTTTATTGGTTTAATGCAAAATTTAATACCAATACAACATATTTGTTATACTGTTTCAGATTTATGGGACTCTGGTGTTTCTATTAAAGAAGAAATAGATGAAACTGAGCACATTAGTAAGTTTTCTTTTTTATATTCGAGAATGTTACAGAGTGTTTTATCAAAAAGTTAACAAATTTCCAATTGGTTTCCTAAGGAAGTGTAAAATACTGTACAAAAGGAAAAACTACTAGTATTGATTTTTTTTTTTTTTTTAAGAATTTAATGACTTTTCAAAGAACTGTTAATAAAATTAATATAAAACATTGTAGTTATAAGTTTTATATGTCTTCATGAAATGACTGAGATATGGACCCTATCATCTTCAGACCTTATCAATAGATATCAAATCACAATTTAAAATGAAATAGAGAGAGAGAGAACTTCTGGATTAATAAATTTTATTTAGAACTAAAAATAATATATATGAGGAGTGACCCGCAAAACAGCAGAAATAACTTCTTTGTTTATCAATATTTTTACAACAAATTTTGATCATCTTCAAAGTAGTATCTATTTATTTATTTATTCCACCCTCCCATGCCACAATCGCAATACGGGTGTTTGTGGTAGTGTGTTTTAGGCATGAATACTTAATAACACACTACTACTAGATGTGCACACAGTTCTTCTGTTCTATCTTCTTCCTTCTTGTTTCGGCCTAGCTTCCAGAATCTGAAGGTCTTCCTGGCGCTTGTCCTCTTCTTCTGCAGGCACCAATACGGAAGTGAGCGGATCCCACCACCGTCTTCCATCCGTATATGAAATCCTTAAACCGTGGGAAATTTTCCTCGCTGTCTAACTGAGGAAACTCATTTTCAGTGAGGACATAGATTCCCGCGGCTCTTGTCATTGTCGCTCTTAACGTTTCAAATGCGGTGCAGGTCGTGACCACATGCTCTACAGTTTCCGGAACACTACAGATTGGGCATAGAGGATCTACATCAATGCCTAGACCGTGAAGTTTAGCTCGAAATCCTCCATGCCCCGTGAGGAACTGGGAAATCCAGTAGTCCGGGAGAACCCACTTTGCCTGAAGCCTCGACTGTACTGTGGGAAAGTACTTCCTCAATGTACTTCCTTTAGAAGGTGCTACCCACCGCCGGTTTCATGCTTCAATTGTATCCTCCCGGAGTATCTTCTTCGATCTATTAAGCGCTTTCACCTGTAAATTGTCCGAAAGTACTGTAGAACCTTCTATCTTGTAAGAATATTTTGTCACTTCTTCTAGTAGGAGGAGGTCGATAGGCACCACCCCCACTAGGACCTGCACCGCTTCATGCGAAGTTGCCCTTCATATGATGAGCAGTATGCTCTGGTGACCCGAAGCAGAGCTGTCCTCTGAGTCGAGGCTAGCCTTTTTTTTTGTCGTAGTGTGAGGTTACGGAACCAGAAGGGAAAAGTAGTATCTATTGACTGTAATGCACTTGTCCAATCGTTTCTACCATTGTTCAAAACTATTCTTCCATTATTTACTTATTCGGATATCCTTTAGCCCTATCGGTGATATTTGTTTTACTTCCTTCACATTCTCAAAACTTTTTTCTTCTATGTCTCGTTTTTGAGTCTATAGAACAGAAATAAATTACACAAAAATCTGGGTCCTCTCCCTAACTGATTTTAAAGCTCATGATAGGCCTGAAGTTGGTGCTCTCTTTGGTCAGCAGTAAGAAGTTAAGTGATAGATAAGTTTTGCTGTAAATCTTTAGATGAAATCCTTTGAACAGAACTAAGATCTCAGAGAGTTGGTCAATGGTTTTCTGATGGTCTTCATAAACAAGGGCATTGATTTTTTCAACCTTGTTACCGATTCTTGAAGTTAAGGAGTGAACAGAATGAGGTTGCTATTCCATCGACATCTCTCTGTTCTTAAAACATGAAAACTATTCATAAACACGTTTTTTGCTTAGGGCATCATCCCTGTAAGCTGTTTTAAGCATCACAAGAGTTTCCTCTGGCGTTTTCCCAATAGAAAATAAAATTTCACTGCCGCATGTTGCTCCTGGCTTCAATTCCCGAAACTTTTGGGTCCCCTCTCGTATATCATAATGACAACTTTATGTCTAAATATCTCAATATACGCTTGCTTTTAAATACCTCCTTTAATCGTGTTTAGAAATGTTTTTTATTGCCTTGTGATGTTTATTTTGGGCAACATTTAATGATGTTATTTAATTTTGGGCAGGTGGACCTATTGATGTGAAACAAGAAGAATTACTTGTACCAGATGATGGTAAGAAACATTTATCTAATTGAGCCAGCTACATTAATTTTAGCTTCTTTGAATGCCAGTATAATTCCTTTCTTAGATAATATATAAAATAATTATCAATAGAAGAGGTTACTTCTATTGCGAAAAATCCAAGATCAATTATAGCTCTTCCTCATATATTATTTTTTTAAAAATAAGTGTATAAATCCCTTTCTTCAATTATTTGCTCTTTTCCCATCCTAATCTATCTAAGTAAATTTTAATGGTTATTTTTCAGAGTTTTATACTGTACAAAAAAATATTATATACAAGTGCTTGAGTATAGATACGAGAACATGGACATATCAGTTGTATTTATTACAAATTTATAAATGTGTTACAAATTTATGAGTATTAGTCAGCCTTTTTTATAAAACATGATACAGCTAACTGAGCACATGCATGAAAAAAAATCGCATAAATTTGGGCTGTGATAGAGTTCTAGTAATAAAGAATATACATGAGATTTTATAAATGCATTCATATTCAGAGACCACAATTTTTAAATAATAAACAAAACAACAAAAAACTATGGTGTGTGCTTAAGACTAAACGATTTAAGTGAAAACCTCAACAAGGCAGAATTAATAATATGAAATATAAATATTTTTTTCTTCTATATTCAAAAAGTAACAACATTTACAATATATATACAATTATATTCAGGAAGGAGATGGTTCTTAAGGGTGACTTGAGTCTCTGTTTGCTAAAAAAATTGTCTGACCTTGCAAATTCATTAAAAGCATGAGACTTCGGTAGACATTTAAGCCATTCCACCACTCCAAGCAAGTATTAAATGACTTTACGACACTTCTATGACTTAATCTTTAATTAAGAATAAAATCGATTTAAAAAATGTTTCCAGTAAAATTCAAATTAATATAAAAATGTATTCCATATCTGCATTTGAAATTACCAAGCTCACTTTTACTGGTGTTAAAATCTTCTTTGTCAACATTCTTAAAAAAATGATTACAGAAAAACTTCGCCTTTCACATAATATATCCGATTTCAGCTAATTTTAATGTTTTCCGTTTAGAGACACCGCAGCACCGTTTTGATACTACTGTATGAAGCAATTCCAGCAGTATGTAATGAGAAACAGAGCCATTTACAATCTGTCTCTCGTCAGTCAACTTTAAGTTGTTTCATTCTTGTTTGAATTACCAGGAGTTACAGATTTCTACGGGTTTGGATTATCGAAACTGCCCTGTATTTTCATTCAGAAACAACAGGATGAAAAAAAATATCAATAGATATATCTTTATGGGTAGAAGTTTTGAAGAAGGAAATACTATTCTATGCTGAAAAGTATAAGATAATCAGTGGTATGAGCTTGACGCCACTTGTTAGATATTTAAAAAATATACAAAACATATTAAAATAATTAATTTTTGCCTATCAACAAAGCAACTGTATTAGAAAAATGTTGAAGGAAATGAAATTCAAATATAACATAATATAAAACAGCTTAAGAAATAAATATAATTATTTTAGGGAAAGAGATGAGTTCATTACGTCAGGGCGCCTTACGCCGAATGTCTAAGGCCAACACTGGTTATTACCTAATCTTCACCAACAGATAAAAATAAAAAAAACTATGCAAATACCCAATTAAAAATATTATTAATATTTTATTGCTTTTGTTAAATTATATTTGAGTCTTCTTCCTATTTTTGCTACTCTTCATATATATATATATATATATATATACTTTTTTTTTTTTAATATTGCTATTATATTTTATGCTTTGTCAACTACTCTAGATTAAAAATATGAAATTATATCAGAAAAAAAGTAGATTATAGATTAGCCACATAGAAAGTTGGTTATTCTTTTTACTAATTTTTTTTTTTTGTTTCAGCCTGTACAATCATTATTAAGGAAGAACCACAGAATTATTCTGGTAAAGAAAATTTTAAATTATCTTAACCATAAAGATCTAAGTTAAAGTTCTGTTATCATAAGGGCTTAAGTTGACAAAACATTGTTTATTTTATTTTCTTTATAGATCTAAGCCTTCATCATATTTAAGCTACAATCATATTCTTCAAATTATGTAATTTTATATCTCCTATACATTTTTAATGAATTATTAAATAATTATTTATTTTATATTATAATATAAGTAGTGAGAGTAGGTTAGTCAGTGAGTGAGCACTTACTTCCAGAGCTCAAGGTCCCAACTTCGAGTCCCTCAAGGCTGATCACTATTAATTTTTCATCAGCCATGGATCAACCCTGGGGTCGGAAGATCATTCTAGGGCACACCCAGCCTCCATAAAGTGGGTAATCTTAATTAAATAGTTAATTAAGGGGGAAAACCTGGCGGTTGAGCATGATATCGGCCCAATCACTTCCATCCACAACCGTTGGCCTTGTAAACAGTACTTCCTCACATGGTGCTGAACTCCCCAAGACCCTTCATGGATTGTAGTGGTACAGTTTTTTTTTAAATTTATAATATAAGCAATATTTTGTTATATGTTAATATTTTCTTTGTTATTATTATTAACTGCATCGGTTGTCCCGTAAGTAGAGGGAGTGCTAGCAGAGTACCTCAAGGTCTACAAATCTGATTTTCTACAAAAAAGTAAGAAACATATAAATACAAACTAAAAAGTAGGTCACATATAAATACGGCAACAAAACAGATTTGGATAAAAACCAAAGTTTAATTATCACTATATATATATATATATAGATAGATAGATAGAAAAAAAACTTTATTCTGGGACTAAGTCCCTTCAGAATAACAATAATGTACAAAATAATAGAATATTACTGGCCTGAACGTTGAAACAATAAATAAAATTGATAAAATAAAATAAAAAGTAAAGAAAATCTTAGGTGCACAAGCTATATACAAACAGATAAAACTATGCACAGAGCATTTAAAATTATGAACAAAACAATTAAAACTATGAACGAATCACTTGAACTATGAACAAAATTATATTTAAGGGTTGAACAACATAAACATACACTTTGAGAAATGAAGAACGAAAAAGAGATACAATGAGTTCATTTCATAAAAAAAAAAAAAAAAACTTTACTTGAATATATATATAAAAATAAACAGTTACTTATAATTGAATAAAAAAAAATATATATAAAAAAAAATGTATGTATTGAAATTCCTACGTCGATAGTAGGAAATGCATGTACTATCTATTACCAAGTGTTATGATTATATGATTGCTACTCAATACATATATAATATCAATAGTTAGCTGGTATCAGACTGTTTATGGAACAGGAATTGGAATAGGAGGTTTTTGAATGTATACAGGGAAGGGGCATGTCGAATTTTGATCGGGAGGGAATTCCAAAAGTTGACAGAGCGGGCTATAAAGGAATTTTGGAATGAGGCAGATCTATGAGAAGGGATGTATAGGTCAGAGGGTCGGGATCTTGTAGTGAGAGAATGGATTGAGGACTTAAATTGGAGAAGGTTGTAGGCATTCATATATATACATATATATATATATATATATATATATATATATACACACACAAACATATATCTTAAAATAACATGAACAAATCAGGATATATGGTGTACACTCTCATTGAAGCTAAATTAAACAAATGGTAATTTTTTATTATTTTTAAGAGGTAAACATTTTTGATTTTTTAGGAAACATTCTTATTATTTTAATTTTTTTTATGTTAGTATGATTTATTTGCAGGCACCCAAGATTCATCCAGTGAGATAGAGGATCAAAATAAATTGAACAGATTTGTGATATCTGACCCTATATGTGTAATCGCTCCAGATAAAGGTGAAAAATATGATTTTTGCTCTTAATGTGATTATAAATTATTACAAATGACATTTTACTAAGATTAGTATTGTACTCTTTTGTAGGGGAGAGGTTTCATCAATGTCCCTTTTGTGATTATAAATCAATGCGGTCTCGAGAAGATTTAAAAAGACATGTAATGTCCCATAGTACAGGGGAGAAGCCTTATCAGTGTCCTCATTGTGAATACAAAACTGTAAAATTTAAATATTTTAAAGCACATAAAGTGTTTCATTACACAGGCGAGAAGCCTCATCATTGTTCTGATTGTAGTTATAAATCAGTTAGTGCTGCTAGTTTAAAAAAACATATAATGTCCCATCACTCAGGAAAGAAGACTCATCAATGTCCTCATTGTAATTACAAATCAATGAATCTTGAACATTTAAAAAGACATATGAGTGTTCCACATACAGGTGAGAAGCTTCATCATTGTTCTCATTGTGATTATAAATCAGTAAGTTCTACTAATTTAAAAAGACATATAATGTACCGTCACACAGGGGAGAAGCCTTATGAGTGTCCTCAATGCGAATATAAAGGCGTTCAATTTTCTAATTTAAGATCACATATAATGGCTCATCATACTGAGATCAAGCCTTATCATTGTTCTGATTGTGATTATAAATCAGTTACTTCTTCAGAATTAAAAAAGCATATGATGACCCATCACACTGGAGAGATGCCTCATCAATGTTCTCATTGTGATTTTAAATCAGTAAATTCTGCTAATTTAAGAAGACACGTGATGTTCAAACACACAGGTGAGAAGCCTTTTCAATGCCCTGACTGTGATTATAAAACCGTTCAACTTTGTAATTTAAAATCACATAAAATGTTTCATCACTCAGATGGGAAGCATTATCATTGTTTGCATTGCGATTATAAATCAGTTAGTCCTGCAAATTTAAAAAGACATGTAATGTCCCGTCACACTGAGATAAATCCTTATCAATGTTCTCATTGCAATTATAAATCAGTAAAACTTGGCCATATAAAAAGACATATTATGGCAAAACATTCAGATGAAAAGCCATACCAATTTCCTCATGGTTAAATATAAAACTATTAATTTTGGTAATTTGAAAAGACATATAATGGCTCATCATTCAGCTGAGAACCCTTATTAATTAAGGATTGCCAAAAATCAAATTACGTTTGTGCCTACTTCATACATGAGCCTAGATGTTTGTCACGTCATTAAAATCATTAGAAAATAGAAATGTTCTCCTAAAAAGGTACCACAAATGTATTTGGGGTGTATAGGTCAACCTTACAAAATAAAGGAATACAATTAAATTCTATTGTTTCTACTAATAATAACTTTGAATGAAGATGTTGGTAGTGGATGTGAAGATAGATATGAGAACAAAACAGCTAAGGCGTGCTCAATAAATATCAATGATTCAAGAAATGTTTACTGAAGCTGTGAATGGACGCTAAGGCGTTTTTTTAAATTTGGTATGGGGATAGCAACATCATTGGTCATAGAGACATGTTTTGCTCCAAAAAAGATTGCAACAATAAGAAAAACTACTTTGAAAGGCTATTTTAAAAGTTAATACATCATTATTTTGGCCATAAAGCTCCTCAGATGAATGACAGTTAACACCCACAAAAATTCTTAGTTTTATCAAGAGATGAACAAGAGGAAGTCCGGCTGTTATGGAGAGGTACTAGATGTTGACCCAGAAGTAACAAATAGGATTTGCAAAGCCAACCAAGCTTATTACCCTGTGATCAACAACTCAGCGGGACAGGGAGATGTTGGTAAGGAAACTAAAAGACATATATACAGGTCTATATACTTCCTAACCCTCACTTATAGAAGTGAAAGTTGGGTTATGCTGAACAAGCAGGTAGCCGGATGACAGGTGTTCAGATGAAATTCCTGTTAAGAGCCTTTAGAAATATCAGGAGAGACTGAATTAGGAATGAACGGATAAGAGGAGAGATGGAGGTGGTGAAGCTAAAGACCTCACTTACTTACCAAGGTGTTGTGTACAGCAGATAGCAGGAAGGAGAGAGAAAACCCTTCAAGAAATAAGGCAGCTTAGAGTAAGAGCCATGGCTGCCCTGAATTTAGTTCTCGAGACTAGGAGAAGAGGATATTATTAGACAAAGAAGAAGATATTATTATTTAATAATTCCGAACATTTGCTTCAATTCATTGAATAGCATGTCTAATGACGTGTACTTTGCAGAAAAAACATATGTAAATTTATGTTAATCTAATCTTCAACAAACTAAGGTTTGTGAAACATGTAATTTTGTAAGCAAAGGGAATTTTATATTCATAAGTATAAATGTAGATATAATTTTGCAGAAAGGACTTCATAGTAGGGTGGTGACCGTCCTAGAAAACCTGAAAAATGGAAAACGTCAGGGAATTTTTTTAGTTCCTAAGTATTTTTTCAAATTAGACAAATATATGTAATTCAAAGATGGAAGATTTTAATCCAATGTTTTAAACTATAAAACTACATCACTATTCCAACTTTCTGCACTCATCGTATTTTAATAAATATGTTTTATGTTCTTCCTTTAAATTATTGAGAGATAAATAAATTGAAGGTTTAAATCCTTATTAATTACTACCTTTATTTCACTCCTTAATTATTAATACTGAAAATTACAATTGAAAAACCATGATCTTAGCTGAAATGGTGAACGTCTCTGGAAGTGAATGACAAGTCGGATGCACACTTAGATGCCCTCGGGTGTCGTTTATGATAGTTTCAGTATTATTTTTTTTCATTCAGTTATGAACTCTGCAGCACCAGCATTTTATTTTAGAGATATCCATAGTAGACAAGTTTCAAAAATTCAATTTTGCTGATAGTTCAGGAACGGTTGAGCTGTCTCATTGAGGCTACACAGGGATTTTCCAAGGGAGAAGGAGGGGGAGTTAAAAGCTCTCTGGCACCGGAATGCGAACTCATAATTATTTTATCAAGTAAACTTGAGTTTATCAGGCACCGGGAAACGTGTATTTTAAAATAACAAAATTAATTTACTTATGTGGAACTATATTAAAATAAGAATTGACCATAGCTCACTTTATTTTATGAGAGAGAAAAGTGTCCACAAGTATCAACTTTTACTTCTTCTCAGTTTATGAAAATAAAATAAAGGCGATAAAAAATCTTAATCAAGTTTAAAATATGTTCCTAGAACATTATATTTCTTGGTTAAAAGACTGAACAGACTATTTTTTACTTTAATCTTTCAATTTCCAATTTGGTGTTGTGTGTTATATGGCTATATAACTTTAGTAGGTATTATTGGAAACGATTTAGAGTTGTGTGCTCTATGGTATCCTAATGTTATTGAAAGTGATGGCATTAACTCAAACTCAATTAACTTATAGTTCTTTAAGCGTGATTGTGCTGTAATGGGTTTTGGCAGGTGGGTTGATCTCACTTATACAGATATTTAGGTTTAATATATTAGTTGGTAATATATGCCACGATTAAAAAAATATATATTATATATTTCCCAGTAAGTTAACTTGATTTCATCCTTATTAATATAATAAAAAATATGTACCCACTACTTGAGAGAATAATTAGATTATAACACAGTAATTATCACAAAGCGAAGTATTACAGTTTCCAATAAATTAAGTTGGCTTCAACTTTCTTTAATATAAAAAAAGAATGTCCATCTATTAATATTTATGATAATTCTATGTCAATTAGCCCAAAGTAAAGTCTTACTATTTGATCAATCAGTTACATGTTGGATTTAATAGTATTTATTAGGTTGTTGATATATATATTTTTTTATTTCATGAATTATGATGTCTAAGTATTAAAGGAGTTAAGATAGACTTTTTAATTTATTTTATATTATTTAAAAAAATTCTAAGGTACTTCTTCAAATTAATAATTAACAATATTATAAATAAAGATAAAAAGCAGTCTGACGTGAAATCACAAGTTATTAAAATGTCCTGTAACTGGAGCATGTTATCATTTGATAACTGCAAACCTGTAACATGTTATCGAAATTTCACAGTTTAGCTCATCACTAGTTGCCAGTAAAATTCAAAAATAACGGTTAAGTTTTCCAAAGAGGTAGAATCGGACAGCGTACAGAATTGGACAATATTTGAAGCAGATTGTCGTTGTGGAGTCAGTCAAAACCATAACAACCTAAATAGTATTTTACAATTGGAAAATAAACCATAATTAATTAGACAATGAAAATCATTTATTGTAAAAAAGAATTATAGTTAATTCAGTTTAATACTATCTATTCCTTACACCGATCATTTTTTGATGCGATTTCAAAAAGTGCGTCAACAGGGTACCCAGTATGGGAAGCAATGTCTCAAAGGAAACTAGAGCACTAACAAATAGAGAGAGAAAAGTTTCAGTTTTCAGAACCGAAGTTGTTCTATGAAGTAATGAACGCAGTGCAGTGAACTAGTTGTTCTCGAACAATCATTTGTTTTTAAATTGTTGGAGGCAAACTTAGCCATTTTACTTCTAAATATAATATTTTAAAATGTTCTGTATTACTAAAATGGTTGGAATTTAATTTTTCGTTTAAGATGTGTCTTGAATTTAGTGTTAGTTGTAAGAAGTTTTAGTTGAATACATTAGTTTTGATTTCATTTTATGATCTTTTAAATTGGCTAAATTGTAAGTAAAGATTAATGTATTTCTATTAGGTTAAGAAGTTCCAATATTTAATGCCAATTTTAAACCTTTAAACATTTCTTCGATGAAGTTTCAGGGAATATTTTCTCTATCACCAAAACTTACATGACCATAATTTTTTTATCTGTATTTATGTGGTTTTTGTTATCATACATCATAAAATATTATACTGTAACATTTTATTTTAATTTCCATGGCCAGAATCTATTGATGCATTTACTAATTATCAAGATATAGTTCCTAAAAAGCATTTAATAGTAATCAGTCCCTGCAGTGAAAATTTGAGAAACAAAGTTAGAACTGATCTTTTACAGTGCATGAGGAAAGCACTGACTCAAGTAATAAAATGAATCGTTCAGCCTCAAATTACAAAAAGCATTATCACCCAATTACACACTTCATTTCAATGTTTTACTTTTATTACTTCTTATCTAATCAATGATTTATATAATAAAAAAAAAGGATTAATTTGGACATTTTAAACTTACTTCAACATTTTTAGTTCTTCATTGCAACATTTTATATTGATATGTTGGGGTATAGTTGATACTACTTTACTATATAGTAACGAATGTATCAGCATTTGAAAGCAAATTTTCTCTATTATATTTTTGTGTGATAAGTAATCAGTGCTCGAAACACGGTTAGTAAGAGTAAATATTACATTTCTTATAAATTATTTTTTAATTTGTATAACTTATTACATATTTCATGTATCATCCATCACTATTTTTTTCATTTTTACCCTTTATCTGTCTTACAATATTATATTTCTGATTGTATTAAACAATTTTCACTCCTGATGATGACCCATATGCTTGGCTTGAAACGTGGGCACCTATAAAAACCTTAAAATACTGCACCCTGATTATTTATCACCCATGATACGTAGAACTGTCGATTCATTTCCTTCAATAATTCACTATTAGTTTTAATAATTTTCAGTACAACTCAGTTTGGAACTAATACTTATTACTGTACAACTTTTCAAGGAAAGGTTTTACTGAACTTTAGAACTTTTTTTGAAAAGTTCTATTTAAGAAAATCATTTTGTCAAAAGTTTAAAAATGATTTTTATTTGTAGCACTCAAATAAACGACAGATCTGAATCCAGTAATTCATTTAAGATAAATTATAATTGTAATTCAAGCCCAATTACTGTTTATTTCTCATTTAATTTTTTTTTTTGAAATCCTAAAACTTTTATTATTTATTTTAGATGGTTGGCTGTTGTGCAATTGGTTGCTCAAACAGCTCTGTTAAAGGTTACATTATGAAACGGTTTCCGAGTGATCCTGAACGAAGAATGGTTTGGGCCGCCCAAGTGAATAGAGAAAATTGGACTCCAACTGATGGTTCTCGTCTGTGTCAGGTATCTATGTGAATATTTCGGTACTTGTCCAATAGTAGGCCTAGATGAAACCTCCCTTGTTATCTTTGTTATCTAATGTTATATCACATAACCTCCCTCTTCTTATCTTGTCAAAGCTTTCAATTATTACATTGTTAATTTTTCAATTATTACATTCAGATATTCACTTATTGAATTCTTTATTTTTGTCCTGTTTGAGTTATTTTCATCAAATTATGGATCTTATTACATTCTGGGAATTACTGTCTTCATAGGAAGAGGCTATTGTATATCTTTAAAACATTGCGATAATTGCAAACGTGAAATTGTGTGAAGAAGGTCATCAAATGAAGTTAGACAGGAAGGCAAAATGGAGATGCTTTCGTTCCATTTGTAACAAAAAAGTTTCAATAAGGAAAGGAACGTGGTTAGAGGGGTCGAGGATTTGTTTTTTAACGACTTTAAAAGTTATTTATGGATGGTCCCATAATTTAACAACGATAAAGTGGGGCAAAGAGCAGCTGAAACTATCCAAGGGAGCTATGGTAACATGGAACAAATGTTTAAGAGGAAATTATTATATATATAACAACTTTTCTTTAATCGACCTTTGAGTATTAAATTTAAACATAATTATTTAATTGGGAATAAGCTCACTTATTAATTATTCAATGAATTACTAAATGTTCATTGCTTCTGTGTTTATTTGACGTTTCGATCGCGTTTTTTTTTTTTTTAATTAACAATGGGATCCTCTTCAAAGTTTAAAAATGGAGCTTTGATACCTCAGGCCAGAGATACACCAAGTAGGAGGTGCTGAGACTGTTGGTATGTCCCTGGCCTGAGGTATCAAAGCTCTAAAGCACCTCCTACTTAGTATTTTTTTTTTTTTTTTGTCCTTCCCTTTCTCGCCGTTAAGGCTATACGGGATTTTCCCGGGCCAGGGAATGTGAGCGGGGATTTAAAAGACTCCCCCGGCACCGGGACACGAACTCGTGTCTATTTTTATATCTTTGATTCATTTATCAGGTTGCTGGACAACGGCGGTGCAGTGCACACGCGTTAGCCCATTCGGCCACCCCGCCCACCCTCCTACTTAGTATATCTGCTGGTGGACGATGCTGAGACTGTCGGTGTATCTCTGGCCTGAGGTATCAAAGCTCTATTTTAAAACTTTGAAGAGGATCCCATTGTGACATTTAAAAAAAAAATAAAAACTGGGATCGAAACGTCAAATAAACACAGAAGCAATGAACATTTAGTAGTTTATTGAATAATTAATAAGTGACCTTATTCCCAATTAAATAATTATGTTTTTATTAATTTAATATATATGTTGTAAAATAAAAGTATTTTTTTATTATTACATTTGTTTTTGTTTACAATTTCAATGATATGAATATAATACAATTAATATGAATACGAAGATAGAAATTATGAGAAGCCTTATCAGTGTTCAGTTATAAACATAGGCAGATAGCAGTCTGTCCTGTCCGGCTAATGGACAAGTACCAATATTATTTTATAGAGAATAAATTGTTTCCCATATTTTTCAGAGTAATGATTTTTATATGTTCTATCATTATTCAATACTTCATTACATTGAAATTATTTAAGGAACATTTCACACCAGATATGTTTGAAAGAAATCGAGCTGATGGGAAATTCTTGTTAAAATGGAATGCAATACCAACCATTTTTTTGCATAACCCAGCGAAAAACTCTAGGAAGCCTCCGAGAAAAAAATATAAAAAAAATGAAATGGTTGAATCAGAAGATCAGTTATTCCAAATGTTTGATGTAAGTTTACTTATAAATTATCTATCAAATTTAGTTCTATGCTGTATTAATTTCTTCCATTTCATTTCCATGTCAAGTTCAAATCTTTTCAAATTAAATTAACATTTTTTTTATTTTCAAAACTTTTAGTGCAAACAATTTGCATTACTCATTTTGGAAATTTACTAGTTTATGTTTAGCTATTAGAAACTATTAAAAAATAATAATATGGAAGTATTTTAATTTTTTTTTTTCAATTACAAAGTTGAAATTGTTAAATAGAAACCTTGCTCTCACCATTTAAATTTTTAAGAATGAAAAACGGTCAGAAAAGATTTTTATTGAGTCTGCCGATGTTATGGCCTAATATTGTACACCTCTCACCTAATACAATACGATTTCTGTACATCCTCTTTTCTTATCTGGCCTTTAAACCGTTGTTAATTGTTAAGAAACTATTTATATTTGTTAATTTATGTTTATATATGCTTTTTTGGTTATTTATTAATTTTTATTTGAATATTGTCGGCACTATGTTAAAGTAATGAATGCACAATGTTAAAGAGAGTCGCATTCATTACTTTGACATTGTACAGACGATATGTTGTTTTCGCATACTTTTGATTTATTAAATAGCTTAATTTATACTATTTGGTTTATTTATTTTTCATTTATTTATAAAGATTTTCTTACCAAATTGTAATGTTTTCATTATTGTTGTGTTTATGTAGCCGTTATCTGATTTGTACATTCTACCTCTTTGTTTTCTTATTTACATACTTTTATATTTATCATTTTTCTGATGCGATTGTATTTATTAATTTTTAACCCTGATGATAATCCTTATGTTTGGTTCATAACATCGGCAAGTTCAATAAAAATATTTTCTGACTGCACATCCTAACCCTTTTTTTGTGCTTACAAATTCAACAGTGAAGAACTATATATCCATCACTAATTTAAATGTTTCTTCATTAAATTAGAGTGCAATTGTTAACTACGGTATTAAAAGATTTTACTTTAGTAGAAAATTCTGAAAAAGGTATTTATTTCTTTATTAATAATATAAATGCTGACTCAAATCTCATATTCAGTACTGAAATAATAATATTCTTGAAATTTATTTTGTAATTATGGGTAATAAATATTCAGGACGCAGTCATTATAAAGTTTTTGTTTATGCCGACGTTTCAATCCAAACATGTGGGTCATCATCAAGTATTCAATGCTCGAACCACGCCCTGATGATGACGCACATGTTTGGATTGAAGCGTCGGCACCAATAAAAACTTTATAAGGACTGCTTCCTGAATGTTTATCACCCATGATGTGTAGAACAGTTGATAAACTTCCTTCAATACTTCGTATTTAGTTTACTTTCTCTTACATTTTGTATTTTACTTTCAGTTATGGTCTACTATTGATTACAATCTTGATACAGTTGGTCCTGCAAAGGAAGAATCAACAGGTATCCATATGAAGTGTGCATTCATCTACTTTTAGATTCTCCAATAAAAATACAACTTCAAAATCTAGTAGTGTAATAGTGAGTAGTTTTGAATAGAGGAGGACGGGAAAAGTTAGTTGCTTTTGGCTGTTTCCGCTTCTATCTGTTTCCGCTCCGACAGTTTCTATCTAGAACTAACTCTTATTTCTCTTTTACTTAATTATAAAAATCGGTATTTATCTATTTTTTTTATTACTACTTACAATATAGAATGCTTATTTTTTTTTTTTTTAAATACACTGACAGGCAAAAAATTCCACCCACTTGATTTTTTCATGTTTTCATCTAAAAATATTTCTGCTTTGGATTGGTCTATTGTTTTTTAATGAATAAATAGGTAATGTTTTTGTTTGTTTTCAATTAGGAATGTTAATATAGAAGACAATAACCCTTAATCCTTAATTCAATGAAATGATTCTAGATTCCAATGTTTACTTTCTATGGAATCAAAATGTTTATTTAGTATCATTAGTTCAGTGCCGTTTCTTGCAGCAAATTTCTTAGTCTCCGGTTTTTAATTTTTTCAATATCAAGTTTAAAAATGCCTCTTAGTGCTGAGGATGTTGCGCTTGGTGTGGCACTTATTGATGATGGACGTTCCATTAGATATGCAGCTAATGCCATCGGAGTTCCATATGAAACTTTACGAGATGCCGTCAGGCGTTTTCGGGAAACTGGTTCTTACAATAGAAGGCCCGGTTCTGGACGGTCTAGGGTAACAGAACCACGGGATGACCGGTTTTTTACTTTGAGAATTTTACGAAACCAGCAACTTACCGTTGTTCAAGCGATTCATCAGCTCAAAGAAGTTCGAGGTGTGCAAATTTCTGAACGTACCGCTCGGAGAAGATTAAATGAGTATGGATTAATGGCTTTTCGTCCAGTAAGAGGACCAGAGTTGACCAGAACTCACAGAGTAACACGGCTGGCTTTTGCTCGAGAACACAGCCATTGGACTATGGACGAATGGAGTGCTGTACTTTTTACAGATGAGTCAAAATTCGCTCTTCGATCTCCAGACGGGCGTGAAAGGGTGTGGAGAAGAAGGAACGAAAGATATGCAGCCTGTAATTTTTCCCGGATCCAACTTTTCCAACGTGGTTCCTTAATGGTGTGGGCTGAGATTTCAATGTAGCGCCGCACAGAATTGGTTGTTGTTCATGGAGGGTCTTTGACGGCCATTCGCTATGTAGATGAGATTTTGGAACCTCATGTGTCGCCTATCCTCAACAAAATCGGCGATCGTTCTATTCTAATGCACCCCCGCTAGTGCAGACGTTTCTTCAACAGAACAATATTGAGGTTTAAGCCTGGCTAGCACGTTCTCCAGATTTGAACCCCATTGAGCATTTATGGGATAACCTCGGAAGAGGAATAAGAGCACATGCAACACTTCGTGATACACTGCAGGACCTTGAAAGGGCTCTTCGGGAGGAAGGGGCTATCCTCCAGCAAAGGGACATTTCCCGACTGGTGGAAAGTATGCCGAGGCGTCTTCAAGAAGTAGTGAAGGCAAGAGGAGAAAACACGTGCTACTAAACTATGATGTAATTAATTTCTTTTAGAATAATAATGGTTCGTTTTTTAATTTTTTTTTTCTGTAATCTTTCTTACACAATCACATTTTGATTATTAAAGGTAAAAAAGATTATAAAATTCCATAAATACTAAGTATTATCTACAAATACCGTGTATTATATACAAATACAACTTTTTTTACAAGTGGGTAAAATTTTTTGCCTACAACTTTTTTTATAAGTGGGTAGAATTTTTTGCCTGTCAGTGTAGCTTTACTCAGCCACAGCTGCGCGTATGGCAAAATGAAAAAGAAAGAAAATAGATAACACAAATGAGCGGCTTAATATCAAAGGACATCTGTCATTTTTAAAAAATTGTCTGTAACATTAATTAATTAATTAAGCTTCAATTTAAACTAATTCTAATGATTTTGTTTTCCAGATTCAACTTGAATATCCTTAAGTAAAATCATTAGAAACAGTTTGAATTTAACCCATAAACAAAAATGGACTTTTTCTCTGCTTTCTAAAAATAACAGAGATCCGTCTTTGATACAAAGCCACTAATTATTTTCAAGTTTAATTTTATTATTAATATTTTTAAATTTAATGTGTTGTTTAATGCTCAACTTTGTTTAGTTATTTTATGATAAATAAAAATGAAAACTGTTCAAAATCTTGAATCTCGGAAAGTTCACCGATTGCCTTGAAATTTTGGCTTAAAGTTGCATTTAAATATTCGCGAGGTTTTATATACCTACTATTATAAAATATAATGTAAAACTACATATATATATATATATATTTATTAAAAACGCACTATCAGTTGAATGTAAAAGCAACACATGCTGTTAAAAATAGTTTAAGATACCGTTTCAATGTTAAAGATTTTCAAATATCAAACGTTGCAATGCATTGGAATTGCGCTATACTGCTTACCGTAGCATTCATTTCGTGTGCATTGGAGCTGCTTTCCACCTCGCTCAAAATATTTTGCATACCCCTCGTAAAGTATTTGATTGCCCGCTTCTTTTTAACAATTTGATTAAATATAGAGTTATAAAAATTTTAGTAAGCAGAGCAGATAAATGGAAAGAAATAGCCCAAGACAGGCAGAGATGGAGCAGGCTTTTTAAGGCGGCAAAAGATCTACATGGTCTGTTATGCCAAAAGGGAAAAAAAAAACCCAAATCGTTTGAACACTTTTTGAGACAATTGTAAAAATGTATAAATTCGATAATATGAAGTACTACTTTCAGTTAGACAATTTTGGCGAAAATGTTACTGTCACAATCAAGGGGTAAACATATCTTAAATATGTAATTTGAGTTTCCTATGATTCCATTTTGAGCTAACGTACCCACACATACAAACAGACCATTTTGCAAAACTTGTTTTTTTTTTAACTCAATCCACATATTCTTCTGTTGAAAACTCGGATTAGAAAATTTTCATGATTCTAATATTTTTTTTTGCTTCATATTTCATATATAGATAAGTGAAAGTAATAATATTCTCACAATGATGTTTAGATAATAAAAATACCTTAAAACAAAAAGATAGATGTTTATTTAAAATGCTTGATAAAAGCCTTTGTCAGCTGGCTTGGTCTATTGCAGCAGCTGTGGCAATAAGGGCCCGTGCGCTTCTATCAATTTTAGCTGATTAATTACAATTACTAATTATTAAGATATAATTCTTAGAAACCAATTAATAGTCAACAGTCCCTGGTTATGAAAATTAAAATAATAAAGTTAGAACTGACATTTTATTATGTATGAGGGAAGTACTGACTTAAATAATTAAAATATCTGGTGTATCCACTCACACGACTTTCCTACCTATCCCAGAAAAGTTTTTATATCTTTACATATGTTGATGAAGAAACAAAAAAGAATTGAACTAAATACATTTTCCTGAAAATCGATCAAGCATAAGATTTGAGTACGGTTTATTTGATGAACTAAAGCAATGTAAACCAGCTTAAGGTAGATCAGTGTACAAATTTTAATACTTCCTAATATTGTTGATCAAAAACTTTTTGCCATAGCTTAGTATTGTCAAACAATAATTTCTGTTAAAAATAGTGAAGATTGTGTGATGCTGGCAACAGATTTTCTTACTTTCACTTAGTCATCTTTATTCTCTCATTCACCCCTTACTGACACCAGGATATAGATGATTTTTTTTGTTTTTTGTTTTGTTGGTAATTTAATTACCTTTCAAAAGTTTTATTATAAATTTTACTGTATAATATATACTTAGGGAGTTAGGCCCCATAACATTTTTCTTTTCTTTATAACTTTTTTTCGGGAATTTAGTCGATATCCGAAAATTGAAAGAACAGTGATTAGAACATTATAGAAAAGTTTCATCAAAATCGTTAGGGCCGTTTTTGCGCTACAGTCTATAGAAAAACATGTTTTTCATTTATTGCGCATGGAGCCCTGAATTTCTGTCACAGGCATCAGTAGTCAAAACCCTACAAAACAAAAAAAGAAGCAATAAAATCGGTTCAGTAGTTTCCGAGAAAATCTTGGCACAGACAGACCAATGGCTAAAAATGTGTTTTTCGGACTCGGGGAGGTTCTGAAACGTATAGATCCGTCGGAAATTTGACCCGATTGCAATACTTTCCTTACCTAGTATAGGTAGGAAAGTAAAAAAATGGTTGTGTTATCTGTCAAGTCTCAAATTATAAAAGGTATTGTCACATTACTTAGTTATAAACTTCACAAATGTCACTCTAGTTTGAAGACAATGTTGATGAAAAGTTCACTTGTTTTAAAGATCCATTTTCCGTGTCGGAGTGACCCTTGTGAAGTTCTAAAGATTGTTTTATGTTAGATCAATTCTATTCATTGTATTGGTAAGAAGATCAATAAAAAAAAAAAGTTGGTATAAAATGTTTTAAAACTTTGAAATGCCATGCTACTGATACAGATAAGTGGTTGATGTATCGTTTCACTTTCAGGTATGAATAATTCTGGTTTTTTTATAAAAGAAGAAATGACTGATGAAATTGAACCTACTTGTAAGTATGCCCCCTATAAAACTTTGCTATAATTAACTTGCTTTATTAGAATTCTTTTAAAATAAAACTTTAACTTAATTTAAAATAAAAGAGATAGCTATTTTCTGTGTACCATCAATCCTCATATTAACCATATTTTTTTTTCTTGTTCTTTCTTACCTTGCCTTTTATGCTATACGGGATTTTCCCTGGCCTGAGGGTGAGACGGCAGAGAATTTAAAATCTTCTACGCCACTCTCATAACTTTGGTTATCTGGTTGTCGGGCAATTTGCTGTGCTGTTCACACACGTTAGCCCATTCGGCCACCACGCCCCCTCAATAACCATTTTTGTTGTGTACTTTTCCAGATATGAGTGAATCTGACGTTTCTATTAAAGAAGAAAAGGTAGATGAAACTGAACATGCCTGTAAGTATGTCCTCTTAAGAATTTGTTATGGTTAACTTGTTTTTTTTAAATTCTCTTCATATGAATTAAAAGATAGCTGTTTTCTATGATAATATCAATTCAATTATTAACCATGTTTTTTGTATACTTTTCCAGATATGAGCGAATCTGATGTTTCTATTAAAGAAGAAAGGGTAGATGAAACTGAACCTACTTGTAAGTACGCCCTCTTAAGACATTGGTATGATTAACTTGTTTTATTAAAAACAGATGTATGAGAAACGCATCCCTTTCCTTAATGAAAAGTTTTGAGTTAATGAGGATTTTCGGGCCGAGAGAGTTTCACGTGAGATGCCTTTGGTTCAGAGCTCGTGGAACAATACCGAACTCAACAAGGAGCTTCATGGAGGGCCTTAGTATTGACATAAAGGAGGTGGCAAGGTTGCCGGAGAAAATAATCCTTGACTCCCTGGGAATCATCCACCATATGCATGGGGGCAGATAGGGGGAGAGGAGGAGGCATGCATGTTTTACAGCATTTTTAAATTATTTATTGAACACGCCCACTGTACTTTATGTATTTGTATGCATCTTATGAATTAGGTTAGGAAGAGAGAGGAGAGAATATGAGGAGGAATAAGAGAAATATATAAGGGAAGAGAGAGAGATGCAGAATGCTAATAAATGAATGAAAGAAATTGTCCAAAAAGATAATAAATAAATCAAATATAAAAAGTAATAATTGTGGGTTTACGGTTGACTGTAGTGAATAATTAAGGAGATTTGGGGTGATCAGTCAAATTAAAATGGTAAAAAATAAATCACCCCAGATCACTCCAACCATCCTTCTCTTCAATAAAAAATAATACATACACACACACACACACACACACATATATATATATATATATATAATAAAAATATTGTATGCTATGCTCATATATATTGTTAATACTATATATTTGTATATTAGTTTTAAAAAATTCTCTACAATGATTAATAAGTATGCTGTGTTTGAAGCAATCCAATCTAATCTAATTGAGTTTTTTGTATACTTTTCCAGGTATGAACGAATCTGATGTTTCTATTAAAAAAGAAAAGTTAGATGAAACTGAACATCTTTGTAAGTACACTATCTAATGCTTTGTTATAATTAAATTGTTTTATTAAAATTCTTTTCCTTAAGTAAAAGATGTACAGTGGCAAAAAAAAGTATTCGTACACCATGCTGATATTCTACACGCACAATCAGTTAACTCTTTCAAACCTCTTCTCTTTAAACACCTACTCCTTTCTCAATCCAACTGATGATGAAATATATCTGAGAGAAATATCTAAGTACCCCCAGTGATTACCTCAATTTATTTAGGTTTTTTTAGTTTCTTATATATGTGTAAAATTTTCTTGTCTTTTTCTTTCTCTTCTATATTTTTAATGAACTTTTATTGTAAATATATAATTTATTTATGATCACAAAGACATACAATCTGTACTTATAATTCGTTCTAAAGGGACAAGAGACCCAGAATAATAAAATATTTTTTCATTTCATTTTCATATTTCTCAGCCAAACAATTTTTTACTTGTGTTTTCAACATGAACAACTATAAATAACAATTAGAAATTTCATTTTGCATTAATTGTACAAAAAAGTAACATTTTATTACTCATATTGTATGAAAAACATCAAAATATTCAAATATGAAGTGTAAAAAAAATATTTGTACATTTAACTAATCCAAAGAAAATTTAATAAATATCAGTCTCAATTAATTTTAGTATTTTGTAGGGTACTCTTTTGCGATTTTCACAGCATTGAGTCTTCTTGGCATCAATTCCACGAGCCTCTTGCTCTCCTCTGGTCCAATTTCTTTCTGTACAATGTTTATTAAGTCATTCCAATAGAAACAAGAATATTTTCAGATTTTAAATTCCAGCAGCACCCATAAATTTTCAATTGGATTAAGATTCGGTGATTGTGGAGGCGTTTTGCGAACCTTATATAGCAGTTATTCTTTGGTTTTATTGGCTGTGTGCTTGAGATCGTTGTCCTGTTGAAACATATTTATGTCCTGCATTCTTAACTTTTATGCACTTTTATTTAAATTGCATCACAACACATCCACATATTTGTCAGCATTCATAATCCCTTCAATAAAAGCTAGTTCACTAACTCTTTTGGCACTCATATAGCCCCAAACCATGACACTGCCCAATCTGTGCTTCACTGCGGGTTGTAGATTTTGGGGTTCAAATGCCTCTCATTTTTTCCTCCTAACATATTTTTTTTCCATTAGATTCAAATATATTATACTTGCTCTCATCTGAAAACAACACATTTTCCCTAAACGTGTAGGGTTTATTTAGATGTGCTCAGGCAAACTCCAGTTGCTTTTTTTTCGTTTATAAAAAAAAAATTTCTTACCGTTGTACCTCAATAGTCAGGTTTCATGTAGCCAATTCCTCATTTCAGCTAAACAATGGGGTTGTAGTACGAATACTTTTTTTGCCCACTGTAGCTGTTTTAAAGGCATTAATCATGTTGGCTGTGACTTTTTTAGATATAAGCAAAGCTGATGTTTCTATTAAAGAAGAAAAGGTAGATGAAACTGAATCTACTTGTAAGTTTTTTTTTTTTTTTTTACTTTTTATAATTATGATTAATGCATGATTTATTATCATATCATGATTAAATTTATTTTCCAATTTTTATCAATATACCCACAAATTTACCACTGACACAAATATAAAGTTTGTTGTATACATTTCCAGATATGAGTAACTCTAGTGTTTCTATAAAAGAAGAAATAACAAATGAAACTGTGCCTGCTTGTAAGTCTTTTTGTGAAGATATAATGACTAACATAAGTGTTATCTATATAATTATACAAAAATACATGAAATTCCTCTCTTGTGTACAATTTAAACAGCACCAAACATTTCTAGGCTCATCTCAATCCATAGTTATAGAATCAAGATGTAATATCAATAAAAAATTATGTTATACTTAATTATTTCTTCATAGAATATTTGTTGAAAAGATTTGATTTATTGATTTTTGCTTCCTCATTACCGAATGTAAAGAAGCTTTATATCTATGCAGGGAGGAAGGGAAGAGGGTTAAAAAAATGTTTTATGCTTAGAATCCAAAATTTCCACTCTCATTTTTAGCTTAGGTCATCATGGAACTAATTAGATTTTATTTCACAAGTATAAACTTACTATGGTATAAAACAGCTTTTTTTATTAGATTCAAGTTGGGGGGAGTTAGGGATTAGTTCTTTGATTATTAGAAATGATTACACTTTTAATGCATAATTAATTTCCATCTACTGAGCAAGACCAGTTTTCGGAACACGTAACTGGGGTTTATTGCACAGTGTCGGTTGATTAGTATGGTAATGCCAAACATTTTATAACTAGCCGTCGGGCCACAACAGTAGATTCATACGATATAATTACAAACATTTCTCCATTTATAGCTATTTTCATCCTCCCGGGTACCCATGTTTGGTCATACAGCGCTCAGAACGTTCTTCCCTGGATTTTATCAAATGAATAATCCAGATTCCGTTCTCAGTTTATTGTCATGCGGCATGCTCTGTTCCGGCTACCGTGTGCAAGTCTCAGAACCGCCTAACGAAGAGTAAACTGGAGGGAGTAGCTTATCAAGGCCTACGACAACATTACGTGAGACTAGACAAAAAAAAATGGTCCAGTATCCAAAATTCCAACACTGGACCTCAAATTCAGGATGACTTTGAAAATTAGCGACTTTTTTTACTAAAAAAGAATATCTGCCAAGTAAGATCAGTATAGCTTCCTCACCGTTTTCATTGGCTAAACAATATCTATATTTCAAATTCTATAATTTTTTGAATGGAAAGAAGCCGTTTTCGGAAATACAGTAATTCTTTAACATTCACGGATTTGATATTCACAAATCTTGTCCGTCAACGAATACTAAAATGCAGAAGAGTTCCACATTTGCAAATCGCATATTTGTTGAATCATGATTACAAAAAAAAAATCAAGTACATACTAAATCTGTACATCGATACTGTGAGTGCAAAAGGTCTTTAAAAATTAAGTATTTTTTAGAGAGCATAAAAACTAATCATTTCTTTATGATTTATTGATGTAATTTCATATTTTATTTTCCTCTACTATTTTCCATAGTACCAGGTTACCTATATCAGTGGCTGAGTAAAAAAAATTTAGATTATGACAAAATTTATGTTTTTGGGTTAGAAATGACATAGGGATTAATGTTACAAATTTTTTGTTTATGTAAAATGGAAATATGACCAGGGAAAAATTGTATAAGAAGAACAAAAAAACAGAAACATTGACGAACGGAGAATAAATCAATAGAGAAAACTACAGTAACATTGCATGGCTTCTCAACTGCATTGAGTTTCTAAATTACACAATATATTCATCAGTCCAAGAGACATTATAATAAAACAGGAAAAAAAATATAGTAGGGACCATTTGATCAAAGGAAATATCTCAAAAGACCAGAGTTCAAAAACAAATAAGCGAAGGCAAAGCTTAGTATATGTGGTGATGGATATAAACAGAACAGGTTACTTCATTTTAAAAAAAACGTAAGATCCAGTAACAATTTTATCAAATTCTATCTCCTATACTCATTTACGGATGTGCAAAACTGTTTTTATCTCAATGCCTGTATTTCAAAAATAGGTCTTAAGGCCTTAAGTAGAGAAAAATATGGAGGATTATGTACTAATTGATCTGGTATGAATTTCATTGATGTTTATGCAAGAATTAAAATTAAAATGTAATTGTTAGGAATTTCTGGGAAATAGATAGCAAACAAATGAAAACGGGAGATTATATTATTTTTTAAACTTAATTTGATTTATTATAGGATTATTCTATTAAATTTTTAATAAAATTATAATCTTAGTAAATTTTTATATATATTTTCTAATAATAATAATAAGTCTTAGCAAGCCGAAGGGTTTGATGCCGATACCATCAATTGCTGTCTATATTCTTCCATCCACTGGTTGCTGTCTAAACTCAACACTGCCAGATCAGCCTTAACTCGATCCTCACACCTTCGCTTCGGTATACCTCTGGAACACGTGCGTTAAAATTCGTGGCCACGTTTCACATCCATTAAAAACCTTAGGAAGAATAATGGTTTTGTCAATTATAATTTTAAGTTATCTTTACATGTCTATATAGTATATAAAAAAGTTTTTAGTGTATGTCATACTTTTCATACTGTAGACCGAAGCGAAGGTGGGAAGATTGTGTTAAAGCCGATCTGAAGGGACTGGGTTTGAACAACGAACGGTGGAGGTAGGCGTGTAATAAACGATTGGTGGTGTCGGCCAGATAACAATAGGTATGAGAAACTATAAACATTGAATAATAAAGAAATAAATTAGAAAGGTGAAAGGTATAGACTAAAAATGTAGGTAGAAAAAATTGAAAGTAAAATGAAGTAGATTGAGTGAACATTAAGGTAAAATAAAGTAGGTAGAATAATAACAATAACAGAGAACTAAGAAATAAATAATTATAATAACGGCAACAAAGTACGGAATAAACATGAAACAAACATAATAATGAAATAAACATAATCAAAATAAGGTAACATAAGAAATGAAAAATGGTAATCTTATCATTTCATTTTAATTCTTTATTATTCAATGTTTATAGTTTCTCATACCTATTGTTATCTGGTTCTTTTCGTAGCCCTGATAAAGGCCTGAACTTCAGGTCGACACGTCGGCAAATATAAAAATAAATATAATTATTTATTTTTACTATTTTTATTTTGACTGATCACCCCAATCATCCTCTTCAATTATTCACTACAGTCAACCATCAATCCACGATTATTATATAAATATAATCTTGTTGAGTATTATACATATTTTCTTATGTACCTTATAAAAATGGAAGCTATACTGTTTTACTTAGCAGAGGTTTTTTATTTTATTTATTTTTATTGATTTAATTTTTTTTAGCTGACTTTTTTATTTTTGTATATGAAAACTTTAACTAATCACTGTCTGTCTATGGCATAACATTTTTGGTATAATTTTTTCAGATGTTTTCATAAAAGAAGAAAAGATGGATGAAACTGAGTCTTCATGTAAGTTTTTGTTGTTTGTAAAGCTATGGTTATTGCATAGAATAAATTGTTTTTAACAATTTTCATCAATTAATTCCAAAATTTATTATTGATATAACAATCATTGTATGCTGTTTCAGATTTAAATAAGTCTGATGTTTCTACTGAAGAAGAAATGGCAAATAATACTGAACAAATTGGTAAGTTTCCATTTTTCTTTCACTTACCTGTAAATATATATGCACTTACCTGTTAGGTTACGTTTCTTTATAAAAGTAAAAAAACACTTTCTGAACCAAATTATATTTATTTTACACAATTATTTTAAATTATTACAAATTAATTCTCAGGTTGGGTTGATACAATAAATGCACATTCCTTAATTATATAATATAATAGCATACATTAATTTTCTACGAAATATTCATCCATTCAGTTTTGTCAGGTTCTACTCTTGGCGCGCTTTCTATTTGTCACTATTTATTTTGCGCTCACCCTGTTCTGCAGTGAATCTTCCTCCAATTGTTGAAGTTATTGTTGTATTCAACTTCTACAAATGTCTTCTCTTGATCTATTTTTCTGTCCTTGTTTAGACACTCCCTACATATTGGTCAACTGTCTCTCGCTGCTATTCTCGATCCTCTCTCCTCGCTAACTGGTTAGTTTCTCCTTGTAACTTATGGCCCTTGCTTCCTCTGCCTCTTTGTCCATTTCTTGACAGTAGTTCGTGACGTCACTGCTTTCATGCCACTATTTAAAATCACTATTGACCCATTAAATTCACTATGTAATATACATAGCATTGCAATTGTGAAAATTTTACTTTTTGAACATCTTGTATATACTGGTTTTCTCCGCAACCTGATCTAAGTAAGGCTACACAATGTCACTTGGCAAAACAATTAGTGCATGCAAATAAATAAAATCTGCTTTATGTTTTAGTGTAGATCAAAAAAAGAAATCATTATTGACTAGATTTGTTATTATTGAAAGTAATATAGATTCAATAAAATTTATTGCTTAATCTTTCAGGAGCTGTGGAGACGATAAGATTTATAATTTAGTAATAATTGTTCTATAATTTTCATGGTTAACAGTTATAAACGAAAATTGGGATGTCCTAATGTGTGGAGTTATGATGAGTAATCTTTTGTTTTGTTCTTCGCTCTTTTTCTGTCTATTTCTACTCCATTTTGCCATTTTTCTCAAGTCCATATTCAAAATAATTGACACACAAGAATAAGTGAAAACTATGTAGTAGTTGATGTTACCATGACAGGCAATGTCAACTATCAAACAAATCTGATATTGCAACAGTAGTAAATTTTATACTGTACCAGATGTTCATTGTTTTTTTTTTCAGTGAAAAGAATGCTTCACATTAATTTTTTAAAAATTATTAAAATAAAAGAGCAATGGCAGCAACTTCCGTCATACTAACTGTGTGTGTCATATATATATATATATTTTTTTTTTGTTGTTGTTGTTTAGGTTGAATAACTTCCAAAATTATAATGGTGGAGCAATAGTTGACTATAGATAGAGAGGATTGCAGTCACAGCATGAAAAAAAAAAAAAAATTCATTTGTTTTTTCATTGTAAATGGGGATTGATTGGGATGGGATAGCTCAATGGTAGGACGCTGGACTTCCAATATTCAAGGTCCCAGGTTTGAAATCGGCTGAAGGCAAATAAATTATTTATTCTGTTTTGTCGGCTGTGAATCCACCCAGTCAGGAGACCATCCTGGGGCACACCCAGCCTCTGTAAAGTTGGTATATTTAATTAAATAATTAATTAAGGCAGAAAACCTGGCGATTGAGTATGATTTCAGTCTAATCACCTTCTTACACAATCTTTGACCTAGAACCTGTACTTTCTGAACTCTTTCATGTGTTATTAGTGGTACACTTTTTTTTTCTTTCTCATTGTGAATGCAACCTCCAATTAGCTTCCTAATCATTTTAAAATTATATTTATGTAATATTCTTCATAGATTTAATAAACTATAATTTAGTTGAATTATGAAACAAAAAAAATGATCATAATTGGTATAAATTGCCTTTTTCTCAAATTTATGAAAATGAAAAATATCCACTTTTTATATGAAGCCAGTTATATGATAATTTGAAAAGGAATTAAACCCTGTACTATGAACTTTTTTTTAAATTTTTTTCAATTTTAATAATTTTTTAAAAATTAATGAGCATTATTTTCACTGAAAAAAACAAGCATCTGGTACAGTATAAAATTTACTACTGTTGCAATATCAGATTTGTTGGATAGTTGACATGGCCTGTCACGGTAACATCAGCTACTGTGGTACCTTAACTAACTTTATCAACGGTATTTTGATTGGAAAACATAGTATTCCCTTCTTCTTGGGTGTCAATTATTTTGAATATGAACTTGAGAAAAATGGCAAAATGGAGTAGAAATAGAGACAGAAAAAGAGTGAAGAACAAAACAAAAGATTACTCATCATAACTCCACACATTAGGACATCCCAATTTTCGTTTATAACTGTTAACCATGAAAATGATAGAACAATTATTACTAAATTATAAATTTTATCATCTCCACAGCTCCTGAAGATTAAGCATTAAATTTTATTGATTTTATATTACTTTCAATAATAATAATAAATCTAGTCAATAATAATTTATTTTTTTGATCTACACTAAAATATAAAGCAGAAGGGTTTATTTATTTGCATGCACTAATTGTTTTGCTGAGTGACATTGTGTAGCCTTAGCTAGTTCAGGTTGCGGACAAAACCAGTATATACAAGATGTTCAAAAAGTAAAATTTTCACGGTTGCAATGCTATGAGTGTCAACAAGTAGTGAGTGTCTAAACTAGGACAGGAAAATAGATCAAGAGAAGACATTTGTAGAATTTGAATACAACAATACCTTCAGCAATTGGAGGAAGATTCACTGTAGAACAGGGTGAGCGGAAAATAAATTTTGACAATTAGAAAGCGCACCAAGAGTAGAACCTGACAAAACTGAATGGAAATCCATTAATATTTCATAGAAAATTAATGTATACTTTTATATTATATAATTGAGGAATGTGTATTTATTGTATCAACCCAACCTGAAAAAAATATTCAGTTGTGCAGGTATAATCTCCATTAAAAAAAACAACACCTTTTTGCACTACTGATGGACATCCTGAACTTAAATTGTTCTAGTAATGGACAGGGGGGCGGTACCAGTAATTGACTTATCTCAGAAAAATTCTAAATTTAAAGATAACAAAAATGCTCAACTTACTCTCAGCAAAACTGTTAGTAGGAAGGTATGAAACACAATGATCTCAAGAGCACGATAGAAACAACAATGATAGGCATTTTAAATTTTTCTTTTGGGAACTTTGCTCATACAGTTGTCAATATTGTTGTTCAATCTGGAAAAAAACTGGAACGTTTAAATCAACAAGGAAGCTTATTACTTACGTTTAAAGTCCAAACTGTTCATCACGAGGCCCCCTGTCCATAACTGGTGCGTTCACCCTAATACAAATTTTTAATTTCTTAAGAAAATAAATAAAATAAAAATAAGGCTTAGCGAACCCGAAGGTTCGATGCCGACACCACCAATCGCTTGTTACACCCCTCCCTCCACCGTTCGCCGTCCAAACCCAGTCCCTTCAGATCGGCTTTAATGCAATCTTCCCACCTTCGCTTCGGTCTACCCCTCGGACGCTTACCATTCGGCACAGCAAATATTAATTTTTTAGGAATTCTCTCGTTACTAAGCCCAACAACTTTACAAGCCCATTTGATTCGCCGCGATGAAATTACCTCAATTATATTACCCGGATACAGCTCACGCAATTCGGCGTTGTGTAACCGTCTGAACTCTCCGGTTAACTCATCCTTCTTCGGTCCGAATATTCTACGCAATACTTTATTTTCAAAAACCTTAAGGCGCTGCTCATCCCTTAATGTAAGCGGCCAAGTTTCGCATCCATAAAGAACTGTAGGCAAGATAATTGTTTTATAGATTCTAATTTTTAAGTTTCGGGACAAGAGGCGCGAACTAAGTAGTTTTGTCACAGAAAAATAACAAGCATTCCCCGCCTTCAGTCTAACCTTAATCTCTTCTTCAATTTCGTTTTTTCTAGTTATCGTAGAACCTAGATACCTAAATTTATCTACCTGTTCAAACATATTACCATCTATATCGATATCACCAGTAGTATCGCCATTTTTGCAGCTAACCATATATTTTGTTTTATCCACGTTTATTTCGAGTCCTAGTTCTTTACCGGCTTTCATTAACGTTGTTGTATTTAGTTTTATAGTTTCAACGTCTTCGCTTAACAGTACCAGATCATCAGCATAGCCCAGCACGGATGTTGTCCCGCCCAGATCCAACCCTTTCTCGGTTCGCATTACCTCCCTAATGGCATGTTCTAATGCCAAATTGAACAGGACAGGCGAAAGAGAATCCCCCTGTTTTAAGCCCGAACGAACCTCAAATTTTTCGGACAAATTATTACCGATTCTAACTTTATTGAGTGTCTCCGACAAGCACATCCTGACTAGATTTACTAGTTTTTTTTTAATCCCCTGCTCGATTAGAATATTATACAGTTTCTGGCGGTCAATAGAATCGTAAGCCTTTTTAAAATCTATATACAGCTGGTGAACAATACCGTTATACTCCAATTTTTTCTCTAACATTTGCCGTAAAGAAAATATTTGATCAATTGTCGAACGATTCCGTCTAAATCCGCATTGGTAGTCTCCGATAATTTCCTCGGCGTATTCCGTGATTCGACTGATTAAGATTGAAGTGAATATTTTATAACATACCGGAAGGAGTGAAATTCCTTGATAGTTATTACAATCCGTCCTCGGACCCTTTTTGTGAATCGGAATAAGAATAGATTCTTTCCATTCTTCAGGTAATTTCTTGTTCACCCAGATCTTTTTAACCAACCGATGTATTTTAGAAACTCCAGCTTCCCCGCATGCCTTAATTAGTTCAGTAGGAATATTATTGATTCCCGCTGCTTTATATGATTTTAATTTTCCGATAGCTACTTCAACTTCCTCTTTACTTGGTCCTTCTATTAACGGTTTAGCACTCTGGTACTCAGAAGGAGGACACAGATCATAATTTCCCGTATTTAAAATATTGTCAAAGTGGTCCTTAAACTTATTCAATATGTCAACCGGATCGGTCAGAATATTGTTATTATCATCCCTAATTCCAGACGTTACGGGCCCTACATATTTACGTGATCTGTTTATACCTTTGTACATGTCTCTTACGTTATTTTCGATTCTATTAGTTTCTATTTCAATTATTTTATTTTTAAGATACTCCCTTTTTTTATTTTTGAGCAATTTTGTCGTTTAAAAGCCGCTAAATTAAAAGCTCTAAATAATCCTAGCGAAGACAATCTGGAATACTTCCGATTCTCAAATTTCTTAAGAAAGATTTATTATTTCTTAATGACGTTTTTTATTTATAGTGGCAAAGGATTCATTATATGAGATAGAGGATCACAAATTAGAAGTGAACACACATTCCAAGAAATTAATAATATCTGAATCCACACATGAAATACATGACAACGGAATTGAGAAATCACCTAAGCCTACACATGAAAACACTCACATTGTAATTGGGAAGCCAACTGAGCTTGCACATGAAGTCACTCACATTGCAATTGAGAAGTCACATTTATGTCGTTATTGTGATTATAAATTAATACCAAACGGCAAGACATCTAAAATTATATTTTTCTGTCATGCAAATGACAGGTTGCACAAATGTCTTCATTGTAATTATAAATCGATTAGAGCTGATACTATGAAAAAACACATGAAGTATCATCACCCGGAGGAAAAGGATCTCAAATGTTCTTATTGCGAGTTTAAAACAAACGAAAAACGTAGTTTACAAAACCATATAATGTCCCGTCACACAGGTGAGAAGCCTCATCAGTGTTCTTTCTGTGATTTTAAATCAGTCCGTCTAGATACAGTAAACAGACACATAAAGGTCCATCATACATCTGAGAAGTCTCATCAATGTCCTCATTGTGACTACAAATCAGCTACTTCTCCGATATTAAACACACATATAATGGTCATTCATAAGGGGAAGAAACTTCACCAATGTTCCCATTGTGATTTTAAATCAGTAAGAACTCCAGATTTAAAAAGACATATGAAGTGCAAGCACACAGGCAAGAAGCCTTTCCAATGCCCTTCACTATGATTATAGAACTCGCACAGGTGAGAAGCCTCATCATTGTTTTTATTGTGATTATAAATCAGTTAGTTCTGCAAATTTAAAGAGACATATATTGCCCTCTCACACTGAGATAAAGCCTTATCAATGATATCATTGCAATTATAAATCAGTGAAATTTTTCCATTTAAAAAGACATTTTAGGGTCCAACACATATGTAGAAGCGTTCTATTTCTCATTGTGAATATAAGGCTGTTCAATTTGGTAATTTAAAAAGACATGTAATGGTTCATCATTCAGACAAGAGTCATTATGTATGTATTCAACATTAAAACTACAGAATGCAATAAGTATCAACTATTGTGTATTATATTTTTTTTTATTTACAAATAAATGTCATGTCAATAACAAATAAACATTACCATATATATATTTTATTAAAAACAGTATTTTATAATAAACATTATAAGAGTTTTATGTTCTTAACTTCCTGAATTCGTATTTTTTAGTTTTAAGTAAAAAGAAGGAGAACGCAAAACTTTTCTTGATGTATACATACAGAGTGTCCTGTAAGTAGAGGGAATTACTTAAAAAGTAGACATCGAGATCTACAAAAAAGATCATATAAATAAATGCCAAATTTTCAGCAAAAAAGTACGAAATTTAAGATTTTTTCTTTTGATTATTATTTTGTTTTTGATTATTATTTTGTTCTATTTGTTTTATTTTTTTGTACATATAGTGTGAATGTCATCCTACCTCACTATAACCAATGTCCAACAGACAGATTGTTATAATACTCAATAAAGAAACAACTTAAGATTTGTGTCTTTTATGCGTCACATTTTTCTTGAATAGGGACCGGTAACTTAAAAAATATTTCATTTAAATAATTAAACATTGCTCCAAAGTAAACTAGGCGTTGTTTTTTCTAAAATTTATGTATAAAATAAAGAAACCTACAGATTGCTTTAATTATCTTCATGAAAACATAAATATTAGAGCTAAAAACATTAAGTTTGTCACTTATAAATACACATCAATTCTTATGACAGAAATCTGGAAGAACAACACTATTTCATAACGACCTTACATGAAAAATATTGGAAAAATCATTATTTTTAAATTTTTTATTTTTATAAGTAAAATGTGTTTTTAGGCAATGATGTTTATTACAATAAATCTCATAACATGAAAAACAATAAATAAAAGCTTTGCAACAGTTAATTGTAGTCATTTTTTTTGTGAAAACACCTTTTAGATGACTGAATAGAAAATCAAACCATTTCTTTACAAAACTTGAGATAAATCTCAAAATTTTTCCTAATAAACCTCAACGTAATTAATATAGATTTAAACTTTATTAAATCAGAAAGTTTTTCTAAAAGTGGAGTAAATGTAGTACAGTTGAAGAGTGACAAAAAAAAATCATAAAAAATTCATCACTTTATTTTTAACAGCTGTTTAGCCACTCATTTAGACATTTATCTGTATATAAATACTATAATAATAGAGTAAATTATACAGTTAATTTCATCGCAATTATAATGTATATAATCAAAGATGGAAGGAAAAAACATTAACACATATTCAAATGAGCTAAGGCCCACATGATATTCTCATGGAAAAATATGATATTCAGTTTAAAAGGATAAATATTTTTAGACATGTGGTAATCTCATGTTCTAAATCAGGTTTAAAAAATAATAATAATTATAAATTAGTTAGTCCTCATTCATTAATGGCATATACAGTTGAGAGCTTCACTGATGGTAAGTACAGTTAATTAGAATTAAACAGTTCGACTATAAATTTTGTATTCAGAAGATTTTTACAAAAATAAAAACAATTCTAAACACTGCTGTATTAATGGTATTGACACAATTCTAAACTAACTTCTTTTCCTCCCTCATGCCTCCCAGGGTGGAGGTGTATCCAGCCACCCCGTTCTCTCATGAGTATTCTCATCTCTCTTATTGACTTCCCTCTAGATCATCCTAGCCTGGATGTGCGGTCTTTGTAAGACGGTCAAGATATACCCTCTCTAACTAACAAAGTTTTTAAATATACTACAAAGTCAGATATAATACATGAGATTAGATTAGATCTATTTCATGTAACGTATCATTCCAAAGAACAAATTACCATGCATAAGTATTAAATCATGGATCTGGATTGCTGAACGAACTAAGGTGCTTGCTATAGGTAAGTTAAGAGCAATGTTGATCATAGTAAGTACTTGGATGGGTGACCGCCCGCTAGGCAAAGTCCACAGCTCAAGATTTTCTCTCCCCTCCCCCAGTATGTGAGACCCATCAGATTACTAAAGGCTACTCACACTGACCAGGCGTAGCAGTGATGACCCTAACCTTTGTACCTTAACAGGTATCATGATGTGTGTTTCCAGAGTGTCAGTACCCTCCCCTGAGGTCTGTTCCATGGATGATCTTTTTTGTGGAAAGAAATATAGTTCTATCGGTTCCTGTTAACTCAGACCAGTCATTTATTCATCATGTATTTAATATATATATAGACTAGACCAAATCTTCATCCTAAAACAGATAATCAAGAAACGATAAGAAGTAGCTATACGCCTTATTTGTCGACTTCAAAGGAGCATATGATTCCGTAGGCAGATATTGTCTTTGGAAGATTATGACTGAGCTGTGTGTTACCGGGAAGTTGGTGAGGTTGACGAAGGCGTGTACAAATGATCCTAAATGCAGAATACTGATATAAGGAGAAGTATCTGAAGACTTTGAAGTTCGAACAGGTTTGAGGCAGAGAAATGGTCTCTCATTGATGCCATTCAACATAGCCCTGGAGGAGATTTTAAGAATATCATGCCAAGATGGTGGAGTGCACATTGGATTGGAATAATACATAAAATCCTAGTATATGTGGAAGCAATCAAGAAGATATGGAGCGACTTGCTTGGACTTTGAAAAGGGAAGCAGAGCAAGTTGGGCTACAAGTTAATTAAGATAAAACAAAATATATTATAGTCAGCCAAAAAATCCACCCTGATGAGATCTGTGTGGACTCTAAGACATTCCTCAAACTAGATAGATTCAAATGCTTCGGTTCCACAATAATCTCATTAAATGATCAACTAATGAAGGTAGACCACCAGAGACAAGAGTAAAAAGCGCCTTCTCTCTTATTTTATTCATGCATATTATATGTATTAACAATTATACTATTTTAATTTACTAACATTAAATTAAATTGTAAAATATATCACAAATAAGTATATTGTAATGAAAATTGTTAAATTTAAAATATTAACTGTATTTTTGTCGGTAAGAAAGGGCCTTAGACCCTACGATTAATCTCTCAAGGGTATTTAAATCCAGAAAAATCGTAAATTAAGGATGTAAAAGTCAATCCTACTGTATGGCTGTGAAATCTGGGTCCTAACTGGCACTCTAGAAAGCAGAGAACTGCTGAAAGAAACTGGTCTGTCAATATCGCATGACAAGAAGGCAATGTGGTGAAGATGAGGTGGGCAATTAGCTCTATGCAATCGATCAGGACGCCTTTATGCAACAATGAATGCCAGAGTAGTAGGAAAGAGTCCACGTGAGAAGCCAAAAACCACATGGATTGATAGCATAAACGAAAATACTGCAGAACACTATGCCGCAAACTAGGAAGCAATAGCCTGGGACATGCAGAGATGGACAAGGGGGCGGGGTGGCCGAATTGGCAAACGCGTGTGCATAGCACCGCGAGTTGCGCGGCTACCAGATAACCAAAGTTACGATATTAAAAAAAAATATATTTTTTCGCGTCCCGGTGCTTGAGTTGATTTTAAATCCTCCGGCCCTGGTAAATCCCGCATAGCCTAAATAAAAGGCGAGGAGGAGAGAAGAACAAGAAAAAAAAAGGATGCAAAGATGGAGAAGGCTGATTCAGGCGACCAAGATCTTCAGAACCAAGCGAAATTATATATATATATATTGTCACTGTCCTGAAGCCCGAGTGGGTCTGCCAGTGCATTACGTAGCGTAGCTCAAGTGTGTAGCTTTTGATATTTTTTATCTGTTGTCGGTATGAAGAGAAATAAAGTGAATAGTTTAGTTTAGCAAAATTGTCGATGTTAGTTGAATTAGATAATCGTGTATTAACAACTATGGCTGATGATTTTTCTTTAAATTTAATAAGGTCATTTTTATTTTCATCATTTTTATTCAGTCAGAAATCCATTAAACTATTATGAGTATCATTAAAACTAATTTGTTTTATTAAATTTCTCTGCACAAAATTTCAATGGATTGAAATAATATGTAAGTTCCTAAACTTAACGTAAATATCTCTATGGAGCCATTCAATGGATTGAGTCCATCATCATTGAACGGCGGTTCACACTGGGTTTGTGAACGATCTGCAAAGTTCCAGTGGAAGATTAATGTCCTTAAAGGGTTAGAAAACACATGAAAAATATTCAAGGAAATATCTACCTACTGATTTATTGCGTTTTAAATCAGAAATAAATATAAATAAAAAGTAAACTGAATATAAATATGTTAAGTAAATTGAAAAATAATAAAACTGAGGTTATATCTCAGGTAGTTCAAGTTTCTGAACTCAGCGTTAAGCGTATCGATGATATCGGATATCTATCAGACCGTTCCCAAACTAATCTATGGAAACTAGCGATGTAATTCTGTCCAATCTTTTGTTCATTTTATTATCTGTTGGTGTATTAACCGTATTATAAGCTTAGTGTTTTTATTTCTCAATTTACTTCATATATTTATATTCTTTTTTTTAAACTAAAAATTTCAGTTGGTAGGCATTTTCTTATATTTTCATGTGTTATGTAATCTTGCGCTCTTTTCCAACAGATCATTTTTTTGGTAATTTTTAATTAGGATCGTTTCTGTATTCAATCGTTGGTATTAATGCTGTTTTAACTTAGAAAGCCAATGGAACAGATAAGCCAGTGATTCAGTCGATGAATAAAGAAACGCTGTGGATTCCATCAATGGATTTGCGAAGCCATTGATGAGCTCAGCGCTGAAGAACTTACTCAAACTTTGTCATATTTGTCATAACATTTTTTTTAGATATGAGTACTGATAATTTCATAAAAGAAGAAATAATAGATGAAATGGAGTCTCCTAGTGAGTATTTTCTTTATATAAAGCTATTACATAATTTATGAACATTTTAAAGTATCATTTTAAAAATTCATATAAAATGATTTAAAAGTTATAACACCATATAATTGAGCTGTATCATTAACTTAGAAAGTGATTGGTAAATTGTAATTAAAAATTTGCAAACCTTTGTGTAATCATAATTATCTGTTTGATTATAATAATGCAAAAGTGGAATATTAATTTTTAGTTGTTTTGGCTTTCTCCTAAAGAAGTAATATATAACTACCCATTTATATGCATACAAACTTACCAATCTATTTAATTTTGCTAATTTGCCATTCTTCTTCCAAGCTAAGGATATAGTTTTACAGTTTCAGG